CGCAGAAGCCGATGAGGGGCACACGGCCGGCGAGCTTCTTGCGGGTGAGGGTGATTGCCTTGTAGACGTAGTCGAGCTCGGAGGCGACGTCGACGTTCTTGGACAACACCTTTTCGTATTGCCCGTCAGTCGGGGTCTTGAGCGGCTCGGGGAAGTGGGGGCCCTTCTTGTCGACCATCTCGACCGTCATGCCGAGGGCCTGGGGCACGACGAGGATGTCGGAGAAGATGATGGCGGCGTCGAGGAGGCCGGCGAAGCGCTCAATCGGCTGCAGGGTCAGGGTGCTGGCGACCTCGGGGTCACGGCAGCAGGCGAAGAAGTCGCGGGTGCCCTTGGCTTCATGGTACTCGGGGAGATAGCGGCCGGCTTTTTCGCAGGTTGTCAGGAATCGGCTGTTCATTTGTTCATGTCCTACTTCTTAGGACGGGAAAGGGCGGGTTACCTTGACGCATGATCCAGCATGGCGGGCGCTCAACCGTCTCGCCTGGAAATCGAGTAGGTCAGCATTTGACTAGACGAGTGGACTAGGGGTAGATACTCACCTCTTGCTGCGCGCAAGAGCAGGTCGTTCTTCAATGGCTCAAATGTCAACTCCATCTTGTCGGCCTGCTGTGGGAATTGAAGGTGTTGATGGCGGATGTTGGAGATGCCGTTCCACGGATCATCCAAAAAGTGCCCCGCGGTTCGGTCGCTGCAAAACCCCGCCAAAGCTTCAGGACCCCCGTCCACCGCCTCCTGTGCGCCCCTGCCGCCCTGCGCACGTCGCCGAGGCAGACGGTCCGGCAGGTGCACCAGCCACGTTGTGGCTTGACTCCGCTATTGAGTGGGCCCACAATCCAAAGCTCTTTCGACCTCCCTGGCAATTTCCATTTATCGCTTCTCTTCAAACAGCTCTGAATAGTCTCCATCGAATCAAATCGAGCCAATTGGCAATCTCCGCCCGCGACTGAACACGCAAAAGCAGCTTCACGACCTGGACGACAATGATATAGTCCGAGCAAGATCAATTGATTACCCACGCGCCCGTCGCCATTCGATCCCTTCGCGACCGGGCTGCAATGCCGCCGCCACGACCAACCGTCCGATGCTGCCGCGCCGTCCAGCAACAGCTTCAAGCTTCGCCCGACAATGTATGGATCACGGATGGTCTGTTGGCGAGCGCCTTTGAGCGCTACTGCCACGTATCACGCCTCACGAGACGGAAATCGAGCTCTGTGCCCGGCCCGCTGGAGAATCGACGAAGACTGGGCAAGAGAAGGATGGCAGAGATGCACATGGACGGACACTCGACCCTACCTCCCTGGGCCATTGAGTTCCCGGTCGATCTGAGTCAATGGAAGTGGCAACCGCCGACACTTCGTACATCAAAGGACCAGAGGGATGATCTACAGAGCCAGCAAAGTCAATCTCTGCTATCTCGTGTTTACAGATGGTCAATGTCAGAACAACAGATGAAAGAGGAGGAAGTTGACCGGAACGGCATTGAGAATGCGCCAGCCTCCACATTTGACGATCGGCTGTCTGAAGCCCGAGCCGCCGTTGCGGCATCGACACGGAACGCGATCGACTCGGGTTATTACGACTTTATCGAGGGGCTTCAAAAGGAACTGAAATTGGGTGCCCTCGATCCCAGAGCCGTGGACTTGGCTGTTTCGAAATTCCCCGAGTCTTTGACCGGGACAAGCGCTGACGGCGAGACGGTCAGCACAGCCATTGAGCTGTTTCTTTCGGCCGTTGTCAACGGAATCGCATCTTCCAAAGTTTTGGGCCCGTCAGAGTTTGACGCGAGCTTTTGGAATCTTGTGCTGAATCGGACGTCTCAGCTGCGGGCCAATGACGCGACGATTCTCTTATTCCAGGCTACGCTCGATGCGGTCCCTCGCCCATACCTGAACGATGTCCACGAGGGCATCATTGCGGCAGTGCAAACACTAGCCGTGTCTCAGTTGACGGGGCGCAGACGGGCCGCGGACATTGGCGTTGCGCTCCGCGAATTGTCACCCGACAACCACGGTGCGCTTCTCGAGGGGATCGAAATCGCAGTCTATCAAGGTTCAGTGGTCTTTGAGGAGGAAGCCCGCCAAAAGCTTCATTTCCTTTGGCTGCAGGTCTTGGCACACATGCCGCGGGTCGACTCCGTCTATCTCTTTGACGCTTGCGTCAGGTCCAAATACTTTGACCGCGAGCTACCCTGGCACGACGACCGAGATCTCAGCGAGCTTGTCCTCCAGCAGTGGACTAGCCGTGGGTACCTAGGCGATCACGAGGCTGTCGCAGCATTCTGGGACCGCGAATCGTCCAGACATGCGAGTTCGAGCCTCGCTGCCCTAGTAGCCGGCATTTGCGAAATTGAGCACGATAAACCAAAGCATTTGAGGAGAGAACATGTCTGGCTAATCAAAAACCTCATGAAGCTGCTGAGTCGCTTCGGCCGCCAGGACCAGCTCATCGTCTCGATGCAACGTTTTGCGGAAACCAGGGATTCGATACCTGTCATGCCGTTCATGCGAGTCGCGTCAGCCAGTCACGATCACAAGACGGCCCTCAGGCTAAGGTCGATCCTGCTCTCACACGAGAAGAAGCTGGAGAGCCGAATCGAGTCACAGTGGCATTGGACGGCTTGGGTGCCCTACATCAAGTCCATGATCAGAGACGAATCGGTAACATCCCGGGACATTTGGTGGGCAGTACACTGCGGAGACGGCAAGATGAAGCGGTACGAAGCGAAACGGCACGAGCTCTCGATCAGGAGGAAAGCTCTCATGGAAAACATGACGGTGTGGTTCGCGAGCGCGACGAACCGGTCGGAGAGGAGCACGTTTCGAGATATGTCCAGGTGCATCAGCTGGCTCCGGAACAACAAGGTGCCGCTCAGCAACCGCTCGATGGCGGCCATCGCCAAGGTGGCCACGCGCGAGCTCAAGAAGGGCGAGTTCGGGCGGACGCAACGCCTGCTCTGGTTGCTTGATGTAATAGGACAGTCCAGGGGACCCGAGCAGAGGGCTCTCGTCGCCCGGGTGCTGCAACGGTGGAGGCAGGCCAATTCCGAACTAGAGAGGAAGAGGTGCCGTGAGGCTGAAGGGGTGCCGGACGCCCAGCGGATCAGAGAGGCGATTGGGGCTCCGAAAAGGAGCAAATGGTAGATGGTTGGGTGTATTTTAGAGAATAATACAAACACACCCACATTCACACATATTCAAATACTACGTCAAACACATACAAGATGAAGTCATTCGGACCCAGCAATAAAGACGTGAAAGGGGGGGAAGACGATGAGTAGCGTGTGCCCGTGGTACTCGAGGGCGATCATGGTGGGCAGAAAGAGTGGTGGGACAAGAAGGTAAAAAGGTAGGTGAGGTACCTTTCGCATCTACAACCAGCAAAGAAGCGGCACGGCCCAGTACGATTGGAATTCTGCAATGGGATGGGAGAGGGGAGTGACAGGGCCCCTTGTTTCGTGATCGCGCGGGAAAGCTGATTCGGTTCGTTCAAAGCTTTTGCCACGAGGGAAAAAATAGCAGCATCTGCCGCGAGCCGCAGCAACGAAGAACGCTGGAATGTATGAATTGGCAAAGCAGGCGGGCGAAACAAGCAGGAGGAGGAGGACGGCGCCGGACGGCATTCCATTGGGTTCCCTTTGACGGCGTACGGGCTCTCGGCCGGGTCGCAAGGTTGGTTGATGTAGAGAGAGAGAGAGTGTGTGTGTGTGTGAGCTTGTTCGACTTTTCTGGCCGCATGCGTACAATGAGAGATCATGTTGGTGGGCGGGTGGGTACACACACACACACGTTTCCCTTCCGGTGCTCGAAACCGAGGAAGTCGCGAGGTCGCGAAAAGTCTCGTGCATTTTCTTCTTCTTTCCTTTGTTTGAATGGTATGAGACAGGGAAAACCTAGATTCTGGTTTCCCATTGTCGTAAGTTGGAGAATGGTTAAATTGAAGAATTCGTTTGGTTTCAATCAATTTTTGGGGCTCTTTCACGTTTTGGGTCTTGGTTTTGTCTCTCGCCGCCCGTGAATGTGTTTGTGTCCTTTGCGGGCAGTGGGCGGAATATGGGACAGTAGGTTGGATTGTGGTGGGCTTGGAGCCTCGTTCGGCGCCGCCCGGTCGATTGACACCTCACCCCCGGGACGGACGGGAGGCGGAGGGGTAGAGGGGGGATAATCATAGTCATTTGCGGCCTATGAAACGGGGGAGGCGGCCGGATGACTGGTTCTAGGTGAGTTGAATAGACTCAGAGCAACACCTACTACTACCTTAGTAGTCACCCAGGGTGGCGGTGGTCAAGGGGCGAAAGATTTGCAAAGGGTGTATCATGTAATCATACCGTACCTTACATTAGGGCCCTTTTGCCTCTCAGCCCAGGCACATAGGTTGGACATTAGCAGAAAGGTGTTTCGATATTGGTGAAAGACTGAGGTAGGCTTTAGTGCAGAGAAAACGGGCAAAGTTTGTTAGTGGACGGGAAGCCGGAATATTCGGGTGGGAGGGGGTGGGCCGATAAGAGAGAGAGGCGAGTGAGGTGAGGCGATGAGCAGCAAAAGAGAGATTGTGTGCGGGAGAGGTGATGCTACCGTCGCTGCATTTGGGTGGATGAGACTCTGGGTTAACCACTTGAGGCTCTCACTTCGCCAGGTTGGGGGAGTGGACCACGCATTGTCTGTGAGTGTGAAGTTGAGAAGAAAAAACGAACAACCTAAGACGAGGTCTGGAATGTATGGAAGATGGATGGAAGCAGCGCCATCGTTGATTAGGTTTGGTCCCTTGTGGAGCACTGGAGCTACGGTACCTACGTCGTAGTTCGTACCCAAGCTCCCTACTGCCTGTAGGTACTCCGTACATACATAGTACCGCGAGTACCTACCTAAGGCTGTGGACTCCTCCTCGAGGAACTGACGTGCGATACCTGCGGTGCTGCGGTCCGCGGATGGGGAACGAGGGGAGGGGCGACGTATCTGCATGGCATTTGATTCTTCCTCAATGGATGGAATCGGGGCAGCTCATGCCCAAATCGTAACATTGTTGGACAAATTTTTGCTCATCGAGGTGGGGGGTTGACGGGCGGCGGAGGCGGGCAGAGATTGAGGATATGTGATGGGCAGGGGGAGGATGCTGCAACTTCTTGGAGCTAATACAACCTGCCCTGGAGAGTACATAACTCCGTACGGGTAGAGGAAGCCCAGGAAAGGTGGCAGAAAAGGGTAAAGGCAGAGAAAGAAGGGTTCGTTTCGGCCGTGGCATAATTGGCGTGCCCCTTCCATCTCCCCCAACACGTCCCTCTTGATTACGTGCAGCAAAGATGAGCACGCAAAAAGAAAGCAAAGGAAAACGAGATGGGTGGGCTGTGTCCAGTGAGAGGGCGTGGACGGCGTCGGTTCGCGACTGATGACATAGAACTCGACTGACATTTGCCGTAGGCCCGTTGAGGCGACATTAGCCTCCTCTGACCTTAATATGACCTTTGCTCAGACGAACGTGGCTCGCATGGTTGGAGGGGACATGGTAGCATGGGGGGGCCGGCCCGCCGTCTATCATTCATTAGACTCAAGTCAGGGACTCAGACTCACAGACTCACAGACTCAGGGTTCAGAGGCAAACGTTGATGCAAGATTGGAGCTGGTCAGTACGGGCATAGTGTATGGACACTTGTAGCTCCGTACGCGACGGATATCCCGTATGTGCCATGATAAACGAGAGCAAAAGAACCCTGCACGTTGAGCAGCGTTGTCCCATTCGCTTCTCTTCATCCAAAGACACGTCTGTAATAACAGTTGAGTGATAGGCATGCCACAAGACAGGGCAGACACGGGACAGGCTGCGGCATGGCCACGGGATGGCGGCATCCTCGTAGGTGGCATAGCATGGCGCAGGTAGCTACGACATATGGTTATCCGCACACGCCGTACGGGTAGTACCGCCGCAAAAGGTAGAAAGAGAGAAAGGAAAGAAGCGAAAGATGGGAACGTTCCGGACGGTTTGGAACGCCGACGCCAGCTTCTCCCGTCGGCAGCTAAGCAGAGTCAAGGGAACGGCAGCCCAGAGAGTGCGAGAGAGAGAGAAAGACGGCGAGAGACATGTACTTCCATTCTCAGAAAGATTGAGAAACATGGCGAGAGAAAGAGCTTATCTGCTTTTGTCCCTCCATGGGGGATTATCGTAGGGTTCGTAACTTCGTCCAGTCCAGACGTTTAGTACCTTAAGGTAGGTGAGGAGGGCAAGGTATCTCTGGAAAGGTACTTATCAAAACGCGGATACATGGTGCAAATACGGAGTACCTTTATAGACCAGTGTTGTGCGCAGATTAGCGAAGAGACGACGCCCTGAACATGTTGCGTGATGTTGCGATGAACTATTCCTTCCCGGGAGGTGTGTCTTGGGCAGAGAGAAAGAGCTCAGGGGTGCCGAACCCCCGCATGCGGAAGTACCCGGTACCTGCGGCGGATCTCCTCGCCCAGTCGCACACGCGAACCGGCCCAGCAGGTCTCGCCTGCTCCGTCCCGCTGCCTTACCTCAGGTACTCTGCTGCGTAAGTATATGCTGTGCGCCCACCATTAGATACCTAACGTTGCCCGCTGATTCCCCGAGGAGGGTGCTGCTGCGGCCACTACTGAGAAGCCAGTACGAAAGATGCGGAGACTCGGCGAGAAGGTGCGTTGCTCCCCATCCCCTCTTTGTCTAGGCCACTCGAAGTACCGGGTACCGCATACTTTGCCTTGCGGGAAGGTCGTTCTGGGCCATTTCATCCTGCTCTGCTCTTCTCTACCACGTACTCTGCTCCACACACCTCTCCCACCATCCTCCATCCTCCCATCTTCCCGCAACAGTTACACGCTTCGTTCGTTTCGTGTCTCGCCCTGCTGGTTCTACCTCTTGTTCTCTTCTTCTTTTCCATGTCACTCACTCCCACGTTTGTGTCTCTTCCTTTCTCTTTCTCCCCCCCTCTCTGTCTCTTACCTCAAGGTAGCTTCCTTTTCGGCCACGCCCCTCCACCCCTCCTTTTCGTCCTCTTATTGTCCGTTGTTGGACAGGAAGTGACACAAATCAAGTTCAAACCCAGTCCCAATCGAGGATACCCTCTTCTTCGCCGGCCTCCGCATCTACCGGCGTCTGTGTGAGAGGGTGAGAGAGAGCTGTATTCGTACGTGGATGGGCACTTACATAGGCTTGCGCGCGCCCACCCCCAACTTGTCCTCCTCTCACATACTTGGCTCCTCGCTCGCCTACTCGCCCACCCAACCACCACCATCACCACCATCTCAATCCTTCGGACTGGGATTAGTCGTCCACCACCCGCAAGCACCATCACACACAACCACGACAAGGACCAGGACCAGGACCAGGGACCAGACTAAAAATCAACTCTCCTGCATGTCCCGCCCGCTCCTCTCACATATCTCCGTTCACCACTGGCTACCCGGCTCGCACCCGTAGGCTGTAGCTTCCCACGTCCCTTTTTACGTCCGTAACTCCCCCCGGAACACCCAGGTAACCCTCGACCGTTCCCAGTTTCTATCCTCTTTGGACCGCATCCTCGACTCTCTTCAACGAATGACCGTCTTGTTTGCTTCGATTTTCATCCCGACAGCCTCTCATAACACCCTCCTTTTCCAAACGCTCGGCCATTGACAAGAATCCGAGATCTGATCAGACCGGCGCCCGAACCGCCAACCAACCATCAAATGGATTCTGGGCACTATTCCGCTGCACGTCATGCTGCTGCCGCTGCCGCTGCCGCTGCCGCCGCCGGTGGTGGTGCCGTCTACTCGGCTCAGCCCATGGACCACGCACACGCGCACTCGCACGCTCACGCACAAGCACACGCCTACCATCATGGCCACTCTCACTTACAAACACCCGCGCAATCACCCCATGGCCAGCCACAGTACTACTCGATCAATCCCGTGAGCCCAACCGCACAAGGGCCTTCCATGACGAGCCCCCGCGTCCTACCAAACTCTGATCTCATGCCTGGCGCTCATTCACCGGGCTCAGCAACATCTTCCGCGCCGCACGGCATGACCGGTCTACCACCCAACCGCCCTTCGTCCCCGGCCGCCTCTGTGTCGGGAGCGCCTAGTCCCGCCTCCAAGCCTATCCGGAGGCGCATGCGCATGATTACGTCCTGCCTCGAGTGCCGGCGCAGGAAGCTCAAGTGCAACAAGTCTCAGCCATGTGTCAACTGCATGAAGTTTTCGCGCGACTGCGTCTACCTTAGCCCCAAGCTTGATGAGGCCAGTCAGCTCCGTCTGACAGAGATCAAGGAGAAGGTTGGATCATTAGAGCGCCAGTTGGAGCGCGATGTCGCCAAAACGTCCCGAGCCGCCCAGCAGCAAGCTATCCTCGCCGACGATGTCGAGGACGACTTTGCCGAGGAGCGCGATCTAGAGCCCACAGATATGACGGCTCTCGATGTCACGTACGAAGAAGACGCAGACGGAACCGACGATCTCATTGACCTGGGTGTACAAGTTGGTCGCATGCGTATCACAGAGCGCATCGGTGGCCTATCCAGACCCAGAATAGCTGAAGAGGTGTGTCCAATCCTACTGTTACTTTTCACCAGTTCAATCCCAAATCTTGATCACTTGTCTCGAGCTAGCGATTTTCTGACGCAATAGTCAGATCTCGGCCGGTATATCTGGCCCGGGCGGTCCCCCCGGGGGTCCACCCCCGGGCGGTCCGATGGGTGGCCCGATGGGTGGTATGGGAGGAATGATGGCCATGATGGGCGGTAGGGGCATGGGCGGGGCCGGACGAGGCGGGCCGCCCCGTGGTGGACCGCCTCCTGGGTATCCCGGCTTTGGTGGTCCACCACCCGGCATGGATGCCATGTCTGTCGTGAGCGGAAGCTCTGGTGACTCGATCCCCGACTTTTTGAGGCCTGGTGAATCCTACATTCCCCCCTCGAGCGGCTTCTTCTTTGGCCACACCCCCGAGGCCCTCTCTCTTGATAGGAGATTACCTCAAAAGGAGGCTGCTGATCGACTCACGCAACAATACTTTGCAGCAGTTCACCCCATTGCACGATGTGTTCACAGACCGTCCTTTGAGGCTGAGTATGTAAACTTCTGGGATGAAGTCTACAGCAACATTGAACCCAGGGCCTCCACTCAAGCCGTCATGTTTGCGGCTTGGTTCAGTGCCGCCGTGAGTATGGACGATCCGACAGTAAGGACGTTGTTTGGCGTCACCAAAGCCAACTTGATCGACCGAATGAAGACTGAGACAGAGAGAGCTCTCGGAAAGGCCAATTTCCTACGCACAACTAGAGTGGAGACCATGCAGGCTTTCATCATGTATATGGTACGTTGCGCCTGTTTATGTTTCAGCAAGCTCGTGACTGACATCAATCACAGCTCCCGCTCTGCAGAGCCGAGGTATCTCGAGCTCACTCTGTTCTGGTCGGTGCCGCTGTCAGGATGGCCGAGTGTATGGGCTTGCACAGAGACGGAGAGACATACGGACTGAATCCTCTGGACACTCACGTTCGTAGACTCATCTGGCATCAACTCTGCTTCCTCGATATCCGCACCTGCGAAGCGCAAGGCCCCAGGCCGGCTATCAGGAGGGAAGATTACGACACCAAGCTCCCGCTCAACTGTGAAGAAGAAGACTTTTACGCTGCCGGACCACCCCCTGAGCCCGCAGACGTGTGGACCTCTTCTTTACTATCAGCGATTCGGACCGAGTGCAACGAGATGATGCGCGTAATCTGGCTGGACCGCCGCAGGCTCGAAACACGCAAAACGACACTCACTGCTGTTCTCCAGAAGATTGAAAACTTTAGGCGGCGAATGGTGGAGAAGTACGAACATTTACTCGATGGCGAAATCCCGATTCAACGCTACGCGAAGTTGGTTATGAATCTGCTCCTCTACCGCCTCCACGTCATGATCCTTCACCCCTACCACGCCAACGCCAACAGTCCCATGACCCACCGCCTCAACAACCTACTCGTCACTTCTGGCATCATGATCATTGAGATTTCGATACAGCTTGAGAACGACCCGCAATTCCGAGACTGGGCCTGGTATCTAGGCGCCTACCAACAATTCCAGATTGCTCTGCTCTTGGCCACTGAGATCTACTACAGACCGCAGAACAGGGAGGCCGACCGTATCTGGGCTTGCCTGGATTACGTCTTCGGAACAGACCGGAATCTACCGCCTGAGATGAAGGGCTTGCAGATTTTGGGGGAGATCATGAGCAAAATGGCAACATACCAGAGTATGCGCAAGATGCGTGCGCCGACAGGAACCTCCCGAGCACCGCTAAACAAGACGGCCGTCAACGTGAGAAACGAGAATCAGGGGGGACAAAATGCCCAGCAGCCACATCCAGGACAGGGCATGCCGATGGGCTTCAAAGCAGAGCCTGGCATGGGTGGTCCTGGTATGCAACAATCTTCACCGATGAGCGGCATGGGGTCTCCGGGGATGGCGTCTCCGCCCAACGCCCAGATGCAAGGTCCGCCTCCAGGAATCGTCTTTGCGGGTGTGTCAAACGGCGAGGCCATCTGGAGCATGCCACCCGTAAACGCGGACAGTCCAGAAAGTGTCAGCGACGGGGCCAGTATGGGCGGTCACAGGCCCTCGCAACCGATGAATATGATGAATCCTCTCGAGGGCGTAGACTGGGTAAGTTCATCTCGTACCGCAACACAAGTAATTCGCAATTTACTGACTTTTTTTTTTCTTTTTCTTAGGATGTTATCAACGGTCTTTTCCCTCACGATCCTAACACTGGCGAACTGAACATTTCCGGCTTCAACGATCCAACGCTCGGGTTGGTGAACGGGTTCCACTGGGCTCAACGATGAACGTGGATATAAGAGGGCATATTTCTTGCTGTTTATGCTTATTTTGCTGCATCAATATATTCGACCATTTGCGCGACCATGTGCAATGGGTTGGAAAGCTACTGCTTGCTGGCTGCTGAAGCTCAAAAGATCCCACGATACCACGGCTATTTTGTTTTACGTCTGTTTGGTTTTGATTTATGCGTAATGCGGAGTTTGATGGGGGCGAAGTCTTCCACAGAGGGAGAAAAGTTTCACGAATGGGAAGACATCCCTTGGTCACGAGTGTTAATAGAGGAGGACTAGCAATGGGGGATGTACTAATGGTTCATCATGAACGACTGAAATGCCTGGAGGGAGTTTAGTTGGGGGATGATGTAGGTGTCGTGTTTGCATGAGGTTGTGCGTAATAGAAGTAGTCTCTTACACGAGCCAGAATTTCTTTGAACCAGGACAGTTTACTTGACATCGGAACTCGATAATGTGCATCTACTCGTTGGGGCAAAAAGGGAATGACTGATACAGCACAAACTGCAACGGGATCTTTTTTTCGATTGACTGAAATCAAATAATATGAAGTATGAAATAATAGTAACCCAAGAGGTATCGTCGTGCACTCTGCCAAAATGAAAAAAACAACACAAGCCATTCTTTTAGCCTTCCCTTCCCTGCCCGTCCGTCCCGTTCTGTCCCCTCTCCCGATGTGCCAGAACAAAATGAGAATATTTCGTAAACGTCGTAATCTTGGGTTTGTTCTTGTTTGTTTGGTATCCCCGTTTCCCTTGAAACCAATGTACTTAATCGTCCCATATAATGTACTGTCCCACAACCCGTTCTCCGGGACCTCCATCCGTTCCATTACATCTATATCACACCCATCTTTTCCCTTCGTATATTACTCTTTCTCTCTTCTCTTTCACACACAGGCATGGTATCCATCGCCAGGGCAAGCTCCTTTACCGCAAGTTGGAGGCTTGATCGGGCAAGAAAGTTCCCATGCTGAGATCGCTGTGCGTGGCCGCCGTCTGCCCGCCGAGCGACGCACCGCCAGCGTCGCTCCCGGGCGTAAACAGCCTAACGGACTTGCCCTTGGGCCGAGCCACCAGCACCTGGGCAGGACACACAACAATCTCGTCGTCATTGTTACCGCCGTCGTCGCCCTTCTTGACGACGAGCGGGAACAAGACGATACGCACAACGGCGCTCTGGGCCTCGAGAGCCTCGTTGGTAGCAGACTTGTCGGCGCTGCGCTCGTTCATGAGCGCCGCGTTGAACGTGACGGTCTCGGCGAGCTCGCCGTCGGCGTCGTACTCTGGTTGCAGCGGCGGGAGCATCATGTACTCGGCGCGCTGGGTGCGCATCTCGATGGAGAGGTCGACGGCCTCCCGCATCACACGGCGCAGCTGTGATTGAATCTGGTCCTCCAGGTTGGAAGGGGGAGGGAGGACCCTGGACAGCGTTTGGAAGATGGCTTGGACGACGGCCTCGGTGTCGAGGTCGCGCTGGTGCTTGAAGCTGGGGCGCTTAGAGAGCAGCGTCAGGGTGACGGCACGCCATTGTCGGACGGCCGGAGGAGGGCCGACCTCGGTAAGTAGCTTTTCCAGCGACTTGAGCTTTTGTCGCTGCTCGCGGTCCATGCCAAAGAGGTAGCGAGTGAACACAAACTCCCAAATCATGTTCATCGTCATGGACATGAACACATCTCGGCGCCTGACACGGTCGCCGAGGTAAGTGTCCACATCGGTGCCATCGAGGATGGCGTTGTCGAGACGGTCAATGACCTTTTCGTCATTGATCTCGTTTGTCTTGCGGCAGGCGCGCATGTCAGAGAACTTCGAGAAGCGCAGAACCCACTGCTGTACGTGAGAGCAGAGCTGCTGACATCTGTGGTCAAAGTGGTCGACATCCTTGACATTGAGGAAGTCGCTGTCAGCGCCCTTGGATGCCAGGATCTGGCGCTGCATCTGTCGGATCTTGTCCTTGGCCGCATCGAGCTCAGAGCGTAGGCGGCCAATCTCGGCATCCTTTTGGAGCAGTGACTCCTGGAAGTGGTTATGCTCGGTGCGCGCTTGCTCTAATTGCCTGGAGGCATCAGAGTGCTGGGTCTCCAATGACCGGTAACGCTCATTGTGTTGGGCAGCAAGCTGGGTATTGGCGCTGTTCAAGCCCTCGTTGACCTCTGTCAATCGGGCAACCTCCTTTTGTAGAAACTCAAGTGATTGCTTGAGGACGTCGATTTCGGCATCGCGCTCTGCCAGAATACCAGAGGCTCTGTTGCTGTTGTGGGTATCGGTCTGAGATCGGGCGTCTGTGAGCATGCGGTTCTCCGCCATCAATTGTTCGACGCGGGACTCGAGCTCGAGGACTTGCATGCTCTGGCGACGTCGCATGCTGTGTGGACGGGTAGGCGATCGGGGAGAGCCGATGCGGCCTTCACCGAATCCATCCTACGATTGAAGGTCAGTCAAAGTTCGTCGTGACGGTGGCTAGCGATGCTGTCACAGGCGCTTCCAGCTAAAAACAAACACCACCTGGGAATCGCAGGCGGTGAGGCAATAAAGCAGATAGAGAGAAATAATTGAATAAAAAATGTGCGTGACTTACGAAGACGTCGGCCATGTCCTTGGTACGGACACGACCTTCGTTGGCGACGGGGGTGTTTGAGGAGCTGGTCGGGTCCTTGGGGTCCTTGTTGAGGTCAAGCTGACTTCGTTGGCTGATGGATCGCAAGTCTCCGCTTACACGCCTGTCGACCCGGCGAAGAGGCGGGGTGGCGGTGCCTGACCGTTGGATGCCTGGGCTCTCAGGCCGGAACTTGAGCGGTTCTGGCGTTAGCGCCCCAGTGGCCCGCCGGTGCCGTGACAGGCTGCTGTTGGACATGGACCTGCGCGCTATAGGCTCTGTAGGTGCTGGAGACTGGAGCCGTGCGACCCTGTCGGAAACGCTGCGATTACCCGGTGGCGGAGTGCTGCGTGGTGACGAGACTGTGCTGCTGATTGCTGCACCAGCCAAGGCAGCCGACGCCAGGTCCTGGTACTTGTTTCTTCGCATCTCAAGCTCTGGGCTGATGCCCCGTTTGTGCTTCTGCGGCTCTGGAGTCAACTCCCTTCCTGCAGGCTCTCGCAATACGGGTGTTCTGGAAAGTGGGTGATCGCGAGCCTCTCCTTCGATCAGTGAGGTCTTCTCCGGCGACTTGACTCTCTCCAGATCTCTAGATCGTCGTCTTTCGCTTTTGTGAAACCTCAACTCTGGAGTCCGTTGTCCATCGCGGCCTGGTGATCTTTGTTCCTGCCAATCCCGAAGATGAACTCCGCTGTCTCGTTGCTCCTCATTATCGAAACCTCCCCTTCTGAGAGGGTGAGGCGAGCTGGGTACAAAGCCGCTGTCTCGTGTTGGGTCAGGTGAGCCTGTGGTTGTGCGAGAAGCAGGCCTGTACAGCAATCGAGGTTCGATATCGCTTCCATCGTGACCCTCCTCCTGAACGGGCGGCAAGATGCTCGGCACCGGACTCCGGAAACCGCCCATCTCAAAGGTCCGCTCAGGGCTGTTTGGTGAACGTCCAACGAATAGATCGCGACGGGCCTCAGCCTCGAACCCACGATCGACTGCTTCATCCATATCGCTAACCATGGTGTTTGTCATGGGAGACCTGGTACCCCGGTTCAGTGAGCGTTGTTGTGTCGTGATGTTGGCAGGCTCGCTCGCTTGCTCCGTTCCGATTTCTCTGCCAAGAATCGGGCTCTCAATGTTGTTGTCTTGAGCCTTCTCCTTGAGCGGTGCTGTGAGACTCAGAACATCCTTAGCCTGTTCCTCCTCCTGTGACCTTCCTTTTGATACGTCCTCTACCAAGCCTTGAGATACTGGAGACGCGTTGGGCTCTTGTTCATAGACAATAGTCTCCTGTGCTTCAATGGGGACGCCCTCCTGTTGCTGAAGCGAGGGACCGAAAACGTCGTCCGCCATCATGCTTGTTCTAGTTGACTGCTCAGGTAGCTGGTCATCGGCCGTATTCTCGCCGCCGCCCCAAAAGTCTTCCACCTCTTTGCTTGCAATCTCGCTGACATGTTTCCTATCGGCACCTTCCCAGAGAGAAGGATCATCAAACACGTCCTCCTCTTGTGCTGCGCGCTTGTCCTCATACTTCGACTTCTTCCCCTTCTTCTTCTTACCGCTGCTCGATTTGCTAGCAAGGACTGCCGCACCGGCAGCCATTGCTGCTGCCCCGACTGCGGCGCCGATGCCTGATGACTCGGATGCCTTCTTCTCTGGTGTGATTGGCTGGACAGATTCATCCGGCTTGTGGTCATACTTGTGCTCCATGTACGAAGCGGCGATGTCAAGGGATGCAGCCGGCTCTGGTTCCCGAAGAGGCTCATCTTTTCCCGCGCTGTGCCCAGGAATATTTTTTCCAAGGGGTGTATCAGCTTCCGGGGTAGGGAGCTCATCCTCAATCTTGCTGATGCCCGCTGCTGGTGTCTCGCGGTCATCAAAGTACGCAGCAGCAACATCTCTAGAGCTGACAATCGGCTCGGGGAGGAGAGTGTCGGACAACTCTCTCGTCTTCATCTTCTTGCGTTTGTTTGACTGATCGAAGGGCAGTTCATGAACGACGTTGCTGGTCTCCTGTGCGGGAGTGAGATCGATGTCTACTGACTTATTCGAAGTAGGAGACGTGGTATTGACACCAACAGGCTCGGGGACTATGCCTGCAGGTGATTCGAGGGCTGATGCGGTTTCTGGAGGCGGTGGCGCTGAAGGGCTTCGAGTGATTTCGCGAGGTGCACTGTCGAAATACTCAACCGTGTCTTTCGTATCTTCAGTTCGGCTAGGTCCAGGCACAATCGTTTCTTGTTCCGGCTGTAAGTTGGCGCTGATGGGAGAGCGATCCAGTGAAATTGACTGCTTCTTGCTCTTTTTGTTCTTCTTCGACTTCTTGGTGGCGGGAATGTCCCATTCATCATCACCAGCAGCGACAGGTTCAGTCATTAATTCTGGTTCGAGCATAGCCGCTGTCTGATGGCCTGGGTCTTCCAGTGAAATAGAGCCCTTCGCAACATCCGTCTCAGCAGCGGTGACCGGGAGGTTCTTTGACGTCTCCAGTGCGGCGAAGCCGCCTTGAGGTAAGACTGGGGCGCTGGCCTGCTCCTCAACGATCGTTTCTGGCTCATCCGCAAAGGAAAGTCTCTTGGCCTTCTTCTTGTCCTTCTTAGACTTCTTGGAGACGAACTCCTCCGCAATGGGTTCTTGCGGTGCAAGGTCAATGACTTCGGGCTCCTGAACGATCCCCCGAGAGATGTCCTCAGGCCCTAGCTCGGCGAAGGTGGCTTGCTCAGAAGCTTCGGTGGTCTCGAGGATGGGCGAGGCCGGCTCCTCAAACTGCACCTGGCTGGCGCGCTTTTTCTTGTCTTTCTTAGACTTCTTGACGACAAAGGTCTCTTCAGGTTCCTCCGTGAGGGCACTTTCACGGACATCTGGTGCGCTCGTTGCCTCTACGGGGCGCTTATCGTCCTGTTCAGACACATCCATTGGAGCGCTAGGCAAGACTTCATCCACCTGGTCAGCTGAGATCGTCTCGTCACCGACAACCTGCTGCGGCGTAGATTCAGTAGCCAACGTGTCTTCGGAGATTGTCTGAAATTGGTTGAGATCTTCTCGGCGTTCAGATGTCATGGCGTCCATTGTTTGGGGGCCAGCTGAGGCGTCAAGAGTGGGGAGGGGTTGAGGCACTGAAGTGGATTCGAGGGATCTGTCTGTTGCGAGATCATCCCTCGTGAAGGCCGACTTGTCGCTCGAAGCATGGTCCTCGTGTCTCGAGATATCTTCCGCTAGAAGAGGCTGTTGATCGAAAGCTCGCTCAGTTTCTTGCTGCTCCGTCGACTCAAGCTTAGGTGTTGCCGTGCCAGAAGCCAGGGGCGACTCGGGTTCGACGTCGTCGAATGCCAGGCTCTGTCGCTTCTTCTTTTTCTTGTCCTTTTTGCTCTTCTTCGCAGGCATGAAATCGTCAAGATCAGCAGGAGCTGCGGCCTCTGGCTCGGCCACGACGTTGGAACTTTCGACTGAACGGACTTGATCAGAAGCACCCTCCGGCAAATTCTCAACTGCGATGGGAGCGATGGATTCTTGCTCAGTCGAAGGGGCAGTATCAAACTGGCCGTCCAGTCCTTTTGGCTTGGATTCAAGGTCCAGAGTGGTCGTTGGCACGTCGGACTCTGCAACCTGTCTTGGCTGAGCATCCTGGGAGTGGGCAGTTGCGGGCTCAGTCTCCGGAATCACTGAGGCTGACCCCTCAGCAGGCAGGGCCGTTCCCTCCACAGGCTCGACGGCCGAGCTCTCCAAGATGGATCCTGCGGTGATTGGCTTTTCGATGGGATCGGTGGCAGTGTTTTCCAAGGTGGCTACTTGCTCCTCGGCAATTGGAGTAGGGGTTTCAAGCTCGGTCAATGTAGACTTCTTCTTCTTCTTCTTGTCTTTCTTAGACTTGTTGACTGTGAACTCTGAAGGCTCCTCGGCAGCCGCTGTCTCTTCGGCAGTCTTCTCGGGCTCAAGCTCGATTGATTTCACAGAAGTTGATGGCTCAGGCTGGTTCTCGGCCAAGAGTGCAGGAGAAGGTTGTTGTATGTCTGCCGCCAGCTGTTCTTGTGAGACATCCTGCGATGGCGAAGGCTGTGCTACCTCTGGAGCTGATGCTTGTGTAGAGTCAGCCTCAAGTGACGCTTCCACTGAGGCCTTATCAAGCGGGACATCTGAGGCCATCTTGCTATCGGAGGTCAGGGGCGTGTCGGTAGTCATAGCATCATCAATATATGCTACTTCCTTTTCGTTGTCTTCAACGGTGGTCTCCATCGGTGTCTCGGTTCCAGATGCAAGATCGAAATCCTGCTCGACCATGGACTTCTTCTTTTTCTTCTTGTCCTTAGATTTCTTGACGGGCGCGTTCTCGGGCCATTCTTCCTCAACTGGTGCGTCGATTGGAAGTTGGGAGTCCTTAGCGATGGAATCTTGATCGATGACAGTCTTCGGTTCAGCCGAGGGGAAGTTGGCATCTGTAGGAAACTTGACTGGCTCGACAGAGATATCGGGCGACTGTATTTGATGCCTCTCAGCTTCGAGTGCATCAGCTGGAGTGGCAGCTCCCGATGTGACCTCAATGTCGTCCTGAGTCTTGCCCTTCTTCTTTTTCTTGTCCTTCTTTGACTTCTTCTGGAAGTCTGGAAATTCGTCGTCGATGTTTGGAATCTCGGCAGAAGTCTCAACAGGGGTCTCGACGGGGGCCACAGCGGGAATCTCAGCGGAATAATCTCCAACTAGGGCTGAAGTAGCATCTGTATCAATGGTCGGCAACTCGGCATTGGCCACGTGCACCTCCTTGGCCTCATTGGTAACAGAAGGGGGCTCGCTTTCCACCTTCGCCGTCTCTCTGACGTCTACAGTGACGGCATCTACCTGGGGTTCCGAGATGTCCACCGAAGTTTCTTTGGTCGATTCGGTTGAGTCAGGTGCAGGAACATCGGTGCTAGCGGCAGCCGGTGCTTCTTGAACATCAGGAGTAGATACATCAAGGTGGTCTGAAGGCTCCAAGACGGTGGGTGTTGTCGTTCCAGAGGGGCGATCCGAGTCGTCCTGAAGCTTGCCCTTCTTCTTCTTTTTCTTATCCTTCTTAGACAGCTTCGGGGAGAAATCATCCTCCACAGATTTAGAAGACTCCTCGGCGGCAGCAGCAACATCGGCATCTAGGAGAGGCTTGTCTGTTGCCATCGTTTCGGTGGCCTCTTTGGCAGGCTCCTCGATAGGTGCTTTGGGGCTCTCGAGATGCATCGACTGATCGGCAGACTGGTCGATTGTGGCACTTGGCATTGACGAAGAAGGCTCCTCTACTGCGGCAAGTATGTCCTCGGTGGATAGAGTAGGATCGCTCAGCGGAGGCTCCGGGACGCTCTCAGCAATAGCCTCGATAGAAGGCTCTGCGACAGGTTCGCTTGATTGGGCGGCAATACCAGGCGAAGGGCCAGATCCAGGCTCAAGGATTTCCAAGGCCTTGCCCTTCTTCTTCTTGTCTTTCTTCGTCTTCTTCTCGATCATCGGGAAGTCGTCATCGACATTGACATCCGGAATTGCGGAAGTATCGATCTGGCTCTCAGGCTTTTCTGACGCCTCCTTCACCTCAAGAAGCTCAGGACTAGCATCCCTAGGAGCATCCTCAGACGTCGCGGCAGTCTCTACTTCAGGTGCGGGTGGCTGCTCGGATGAGATGTCTGCCTCGTCGTCTGCAGCCTTGTCGTGTTGGATATCCTTGACTTCAGCTGCGATAACCCCGGCGGCGGCTGCAGCAGTAGCAGCTGCTGCCATTTCGGCCATCTTCTTCTTCTTCTGTTTCTTGTTCATGCCCTTGAAAGGGTCCTCCTCGACGATGGGTGATGCCGGCTCGGACTTGTCGATGGGCTTCTCTTCGGCAGCTGCCTCTGCAGGAGTCTCTTCGACGATCTTGCTCTCAGCTGCCACCTCCTCGGGCTTCTCTACAGGGACTTGTGGAGCTTTTGTAGTGGCAAGCTCTGAAACTGCAGTGGCTGCAGCCAACTCTGCAGCAGCGGCCATCTCAGCCATCTTCTTCTTTTTCTGCTTCTTGTTCATGCCCTTGAAGGGGTCCTCCTCGACCTGAGCCTCGACCTGGGGCACCTCTGGAACGGGGGCATCTTCAACAGCCTTCTCGTCGGTAGGTTTGTCGGCAAGAGTCGACTCCTCGGCAGTCGGGGCTTCAGCAGGAGTCTCTTCAAGAGCGACATCTGCAGGTATCTTATCGGCAACCTTGTCCTCACCAACCATCTGCTCAACTGCCTTCTCTTCGGCCTCAGCAGCAGCCATTGCAGCCAATTTCTTCTCCTTTTCCTTTTTGCTCAGGCCAGCGAAAGGGTCCTCTTCGACTTGAGGCTGCTCGAGCTCCGGTTCGGGCACGAACTTCGACTCAGCTGCAGTCTCCTTGGCAGCAGACTCCTCAACAAAAGGCTCCTCGTCGACGAGCTTGGCTGGAGCAGGCTCAGAAGGTACTTGTTGGGCCTCAGAAACAGCCTCACCAGCGGCAGCAGCTTCGGCAGCCTTGGCGGCGGCAGCTATCTCGGCCATCTTCTTCTTCTTTTGTTTCTTGTTCATACCCTTGAAAGGGTCTTCGTCTGCCTTGGCTGGCTCTGATACTGCCTCTGACACAAGTTCTGGTTCCGCCGCGCGTTCGGGCTCCACGGCGGACTGCTCCTTGGTCGGCGTCTCGATCGTAGTCTTGTCAGAAGTCATCTCTTCGACAGGCGTCTTGTCCTCGGTGGAAGTTTCCAGTCCGGACGCGTCGTCTGTGGAATGTGTCTCGATGGGGATCTCATCGGCAGACTTCTCATCGGAAGACTTCTCAACGGCAGGCTCCTTCCCAGTAAGCTCCTCCTCGGTGGAGGTTTTCTCAGCGACCAAGTCCTCTGTGGGGTGCGACTCGACAAGCTTCTCAGCGGCAGCTTCGTCTTCCGTGGGCTTCTCGACCTCGACAGCTTCGACAGTGGCAGCAGCCTCGGCGGCTTCAGCGGCCGCCTTCATCTCGGCCATCTTCTTCTTCTTTTGCTTCTTATTCATACCCTTGAATGGATCCTCTTCAGACTTCATCAACTCCGGCGTAACCTCTGGCACACTCTTGACTTCATCTGCAGTTTGCGGTTCTGGCGCAGAAGGTTCCTCGGCAGCGGTTTCCTCAGTAGGCCGCGCCTCTGGTGGGGTCTCAAGAGTAGCAGGCGTGGAGTCGGCGGTTTGTTCCTCGGCGGCAGGCGTGGGTTCCTGAGCAACGGCCAGGGCGGCAGCGGCAGCGGCCATCTCTGCTTTCTTCTTCTTCTTCTGTTTGTTGCTCATGCCTTTGAAGGGATCCTCCTCGACCTTAGGCTGCTCCGATTCCAGAGGCGCCGTCTCTTCGATACCCTTCTCTTGCTCAGGCTCTACTTTGACAGGTTCTTCCTCTTGCTGCTCGGGAAGCTCAGTCGTGACGATGGGCTCTTCCGCGGGTTCCTTCGGTCGGGCGATCGCCTCGTCACCAGGAACGACGGCTTCTTCGCGAGCTTCCTCCACCTGCGATGCGGGTATCGATTCCGGCGTGCTTTCTGCCTCTGGAGCAGGAGAGTCCTCCAGAATATCTTGCGCGTTGTCCTTCTTGCTCTTCTTCTTGTCCTTCTTCGATTTCTTCGAGGTGGTGAGCTCTTCCTCCACAGTAGTCGGCGTTTGGTTCTCAGGGATCGGATCCTCCGATACAACGGCTGGTGACTCGGTGTTCGCCGCTGCCTCTGGTGGAGTAGCCACCTCCTCCACGGCTTGGGGGTTTGGCTCCTCTGCGGCCGGCGTGACGGCAGGCATTGTTAGTGGCTCAGAATTCTGCGGTGCTTCTAATAGGTCAATCTCCTTTGCCACGAGCTGCGCTTCCGGCGTGGCTGGCGTCTCATCTTGGGTGTCGGAAGCAAGACTCTTCTTCTTCTTCTTATCCTTCTTGGACTTCTTGGTGACAGCTGGGAACTCTTCCTCTGCAAGTGGAGTGGTGTTATCTGCAGGTGTCTCGAGCGTTGCTGGAGAAGGATCAGTCTGGCCGGAAGGCTCTGATGGCAGTTCCTGCTTGACTTCGGATACTCCAGCCATAGGGGCAGAGGAGGCTCCTGCTTCCAGGTTGGTAGGCTGCAAAGTTGCTGGTGAGTCCTGGGTCGGTGGTTCTTCCTCAGACTTCGAAGTCGAGAGGTCCTGAGCATCGGCCTTTAGCGGGCCTTTGGACTCTGGCTCTGATGAAGCTTGCACATCTTCAGATGGCAGTTGTGCTGCGTCGCCAAGCAAAGGGGCGTTGTCAGGTGAAGCAGAGGAAGATTCCTCTAGCGGAGTCTCCAGCTGAGGGAGTTCCTGGCTATCGTCCAATGAAAGACTTTGCTGCTTCTTCTTCTTTTTCTTGTCCTTCTTGCTCTTCTTCGTCGGCTCAAAGTCATTGATGTCGGCCTCTGCTGGTTCGGCCGGCAGCTCATCATTTGTAGTTGGCTGTGGTGAACTTTGAACTTCGTCTGATGTGCTTTCCGCCGGGGCCCGAACCTCTTCACTTTGCTTGGGCTCTGCGCTCTCCAGGGTGTCCGCAGACTCCTCTGTTGACTTGTGGTCGCCAGCATCATCACCCTTGGAGGCTTGGTCTACTGAAGACTGTAAAGGCGCTTCAGGCTCGGCGGGAATCTCGCGCGTTTCAGGCGCAGGCGAAGGCTCAGTGCTCTGCTCTTCCACTGCAGCAGATGCCTGAGCTGCAGCCTTTTTCTTTTTGTCTTTTTTACTCTTCTTGCCAGCTGGTTGAATTGCCCATTCATCCTCGCCAGCCTCGATTGCTTCTCTTACGGCGGTTGCTTCCGGGGCGTCCGTGACATTCGGCCCCGCCTGCTCCGGTGCTTGGACTGATTCGTCAACGGCCCTGACAGCCGGGGCTCCATCTTCCACAATCGGTGACTTGAGATTTTGGACATCATCCTGAGGGATTGGTTCAGATGTTGCAGCCTTGGTCTTCTTCTTGCTGCTCTTCTTTTCCTTCTTGGACATCTTGCTCGAGCTTGAGGGCTCAGAACCAACGTCGTCTTCCTGACCGACTTGTGTTTCGGTCTGTTCGGGGTCGTGAGTGGTACTCGGGTCCCCTGTTGGTTCAAGGCCGGGAAGAGTCTCCGAAAGCGGCTCTATTTGCGGCTCCGGCAAGATCGGTTGACCCAAAGATTCCGATAGATCTGACTGACCCGGGAATCCAACATTGGCGGCGAGAGAATCGAATTCGTCTCTCTGGTCCTTCTTTTCTTCTTCCTTCTTTTCGACGTCTGAAATTTTGTCTAGTTGTTGAACGTCTTGCAGAAGGGTCTCGGTCTCGGCAGTAGAGTCAGTAATCCCCGCGTCAGATTTTTTGCCAACCTCCAATGATGTCTGACTGGGTACCTGTCCCTCCTCTGTGCCCTGTCCTAGAGGTTGGGGGATCGCCGTGTTTGTGTCTTGGTTCGCCAAGGCTGTGACCGGGGGTTGAAGTGGGTCTCCAGCCTCCAGAAGCTCCAGGGCCGAGTCGGTGAGGGCCGGTCCCACGGCTTGGGCATCCGCTATCCGCCTGTTTTGCGTGTTCTCCAGTGATTTGTCGTCAATCGGCTCCACACCCGCATGCAGGCCGGGGTCCTGGCTGCCGACCTCTCCCGTTTGAGCGTTGGATCCCGCTGATGGTTCGTCAATGGTGTCAGGGCGGCCCGCAGCTTCGGGGTCCGATGTTGCACCAGCCTGGGCCCTAGCCACCTGCTCCGCGTCTACCTCGTGCTCCCGCTCTAATGTCTCACCGCCCTTCTCGTTGGCCACTTCAGTGCCGCCTTCACTGGAAAAGGCAGGCGTTGAAGGCTCGCGGGTCAGAGAATCCATTGGCTCGCCTGCAACTCCCCGCGTGCTTGTGTTCAGCCCAGGAGATGACGGAACATCATCGCTGGGGGTCGCGGTTGTGTCTTGCAGTGTGGGCAGGGCCTCCTCACTGGGCTCGCCTGCAGGGTGCATCTGTGCTTGGCCATCAGAGTCGAGATCCTTCTCCGCCACAACTGTGGCTGTTTGTTGGTCGACATCCTCGTCTAAACCTTGCGAGGTCGGAACATCGCCTGGACTGCCTGCTTCGGGCAACTCCCCTGCCCTTGACGCATCCTGAGCCGGGCTTGGCTCGACAGTGGAAGATACCTCAGATATGGAGTCGCGTTCGATGTTGCTTGTCGTCTCCAAGCCACTGTCGCCTTCATGAGGCATTTCAGGCTTAGGTTCAACAAAGGTCGAGAAAGACTCCAGTTCAGGTGCCCAGGTCACGGATTTCCTCTTCTTCTTGCCCGCAGTTGTAGCAGTCGGCCACTCAGCCTCTGTCGGCGTGTCTGCTTGCGGGAAGGGGATTTCGTCACTGCTAGGCTCTCCCGATGGAGAGGTCAAATAAGCGGACTGTTCTCTTGTATTCGCTACATCTGCCGAGTTTTCGAGGGTACTCTCCGGGTCCAGGGTGGAAGACTTCTTGCCCTTCTTCTTCTTCTTTCCCTTTTTGGTAACAGTTGGTCCTGGGTCTGCCTCCTCTGAAATCTTGCTGTCCGTAGCGAATTCTCCGCTCGCGGTGGGTTCTTGCGATGATTGCTCCATCTCCCCAATCTTGTCTGAAATGGTCGTGTTCGAGTTTTCAACGTCTGTGACCGTCTTGTCTGTGATTGACTCGTCCGTAACCGTCTCGTCCTTAGTATCCTTCTTGTCCGAATCCTTGGTAGCGTCCTCGACGGCCGGCTCCAATGTTATGGCGGCAGCGACGGCTGCTGCGGCGGCTGCAGCAGCCTTCTTGGCCTTCTTCTTGCTCTTCTTCGATGATGCTGCTTCGGGTTCAATTGGAGACTCCGGACCACGATCCTGCTGGTCCTCGGCGAAGGTTTCTTGCGGTTTGGACTCAAGCGAGTCAACTTGGCTGTCAACAAGTGTCGGCTCCTGGGAAGCATTCTCGAAAACCTCGTCTGGGCTAATGGGAGTCGCAGGCCCTTGCGGAGGTGTGAGGAAAGCCTCATCCTGGCTTTCGGTCATTGTTGGCGTTTGAGGTTCCACTTGAGTTGCCTCCTCTACAGCGAAATCTGTCGGCTTGATATCAATTTCCTGCGATTGGTCGGCTTTCTGCGCGTCAGTCGCAGAGGACTTCTCATCGATCGTTGCATTGGATGAAGCACCCTTTGCGGGTTCGGCAGGGAGCTCTTCGTTGATGCTTGGCACCTGGACATTATCTTCGGGTGCTTTCTTGTCCTTCTTCTTCTGTTTCTTCGACTTTTTAAGTGACTTAGAAGTCTCCTCGGTCGGAGCAGAATCTTGCTGTTGCTCAGTAGAAGGCGAAGAAGGTGTAGGGGCCTCGAGAGTGTCCGCCGTGACTGGGGCCGTCTGAAAGTTGGTGTCTTCTGGGTGATGTGCGTCCACAGGAATGGCTTCAGAAGCGTCGGTATCGGTGACGGTTTTCTGGCTGGACGGGTCTTCAGCCAGTGCGTCTGTAGTCGAGACATTCGATACGGGCGCTTCTGCCGCCGCTGTCGAAGTCTCAACCTCCGGGGTCTCAACAACCGGAGTCTCAACGACCGGAGTCTCAGCAGCCGGAGTCTCGATAGAAGTCTCAACGGCAGGAGTCTCAACAGCAGGGGTCTCAACGGCAGGAGTCTCGACGGAAGGAGTCTCGACAGAGGGAGTATCAATGGCAGAAGCTTTAGCAAAGTACTCGGGAGCAGGGCTCTCGATTCCCCAAGCATCGAACGCCGGGGTGTCGATGACGGGACCTTCGCCAATAAGGGCATCGGTAGCAGCAGGCTCATTGAGGGGAGCCTTGTTGGTAGGAGCTTCAGTGGTAGGAGTCTGAACGCCTGGGGAATGGAGGGGAGTCGACTCAGACGACATCACGTCATCCAGCTGCGACAGCGAAGCACCCTTGCCCTTCTTCTTCTTTTTCTTTTTCTTGCCAGATGCCTCAGGCTGAATGGGCTCAGCCGGTGGCGGCTCCGTGAGACTAGGCTCAGAAGTTGCCATCGCGTTGTCAACAATGGCTGGCACATTGTCAGAAGTTTCAGGGGCAAGAACGGAGGCTTTCTCGGTAATATCCTCCGGAAGGGGGATTGCAGCTGCATCCTTCTCAGTCGGAGCTGGTTCAGATACATCGGTCTTCTCGGCAGCGTATTCGGGAAGAGGCACTCCTGCAACATCCACTTCGGCAACAGTTTGTCGGGGGATCTGCTCAACGAACTCGGTATCATCCTCAGGTAGAGGAATGGTGGTAGCATCTGGTTCAGTATCGGGTAAGACGGACGTCTCCTCCAATGCTTTTGCGACGGGCGCTTCGACTATTGCGTTCTCGACAGCAGGTTCTGCGGAGACAGCTAGAGAAGTGTCGTTATCGGTCGGTACCAAGTCCACTTCCGCAGCAGAAGGTTGTATGCTTGCATCTGTTTGGGTGGAAGAAGGCTTTGCTTCAGGTTCGTTCAAAGCTTCGGCGGTCTGGTCCTTCTTGGACTTCTTCAGCTTCTTCTTCTGCTTCTTGGACAAGGAAGTAGACTCGGCTTCAGCTGGGACCTCTGCCTCAAGCGGTTCAACCGGGGTGTCATCGATGATTTGATCAGCGGCCGGTGGCTGCGAAACCTCGTCGCTCTTTGAAGCAGAAGTGTCTTCTTGGCCAAAGACTGAAGGTTGCTGTTGCCATGGGTCCTCGTCTAGCTGCCAGGGGTCGTCTTCAAGCGTGGCCGGGCTGTCTTCTGGTGCTAGAGGTACAGGCTGAGTCTCGTCAACAGCCGCCACGTCGGTGTCGGCAGGCTTGACGTCTTGGTCAACAGTTGCAACCTGCTGCTCAGCCAAGCTGTCAGATGGGCCGAGTGACTTGTCGTTAGATTCGGAGAGGGGCGGCAGTGATTCCGATGGTGTTTCGAGCTTTTCTTGGGGGCCGCGGATATCGAGTCGCTGGTCAGGGAGGCTTTGCTGGATTTCAGCGGACTTGGCTTCTGGCGCCTCAGGGGCGGACTCTTGTTGCAAGGATGTAACATCATTAGTGGTGCCAAGCGACCTTGCTTCGATGTCCAATGTAGGAGTGTCTTGTTGAGAAGAAACAGTTGAGGGCTCGAGGGCTGAAGTAGATAGAAGAGTTTCGTTTGTCGCATCCAAAGATTTCTTGCTCTTCTTCTTCTTTTTACCCTTCTTAGTGTCAGGAACCAGAGGTGAAGCAGGCAAGTCAGTCTCGACTTCCTCCTTGGAATTGTTGACATCAGGCAATGGTTCTTGGACCGCATCTAGGGCGGGGGCGGGAACCGGCTCCTCCGTGACGGGAAGTGCCGGTAGCTGTTCAGCTTCATCCGTGTCCTTGGCCTCCTGAACATTGACAGAGGGTGCCAGAGAAGGCTCGGGAAGGACTTCTGACGCTTTGAGAGTCTCGCTGGCTTGACCAGCGCTAGCTTGAGCGGCAGCCTCAGCAGCAGCAGCCATCTCAGCCAGTTTCTTCTTCCTCTGCTTCTTGCTCAAACCTGCAAGCGGATCTTCCTCTGCCTTGAGCTGCTCCGGCTCTGTTTCAGGCTTCTTCTCCTCGACGTCTGCGAGAGAAGTGGTTGCAGGCTGCTCAAGCTCAATGGCCTCCTTAGCTTGAGAGATGCTGGTTTCAGGAGTAGCAGTTGCTTCGACGACTAGATTGCTCTCTTCGATGGGTTGCGTCGGTGATGCGGCGGTAGGCTGTTCGACTTCCACTTCTCTGCTGACCTCAGCGGGTTCAGCAGCATCAGCGGCCGCCTTCATCTCGGCCTTCTTCTTTTTCTTCTGTTTATTGCTGAGGCCGGCGAAGGGGTCCACATCATCCATCGGCTTCTCTTCGACCACGGGTTTCTCCTCGACCTCGAGCTGCTCCTCAGGTTTGGGCCGTCCAGCCTCCAATTCAAGTGATTCGTTGACATGCTCGTCAGGAATTGGAACGGCGGCGGCGGCAACTTCGGAGGCGGCATTAGTGGCAACAGCCTCTGCGGCCTCTGCGGCCGCCTTCATCTTGGCCATCTTCTTTTTCTTCTGTTTGTTGCTGAGGCCAGCAAAGGGATCCACCTCCTCCATCGGCTCCTCCTCGATCGCTGACTTCTCCACGGTCACTGGTTTCTCCTCGACCACTGGTTTGTACTCGACCTTGGGTCGCTCTTCGGTCTTCGGATGTTCAGCCTCCAATTCTAGTGATTCGTCCACATGCTCAGGAAGTGGAACAGTGGCGGCGTCAACAGCAGTAGCCTCGGCTGCTTCGGTGGCGGCAATAGCGGCGGCCGCCTTCATCTCGGCTTTCTTTTTCTTCTTCTGCTTGTTGCTCAAGCCAGCAAAGGGGTCCACCTCAACCTCGGGCTGCTCTTCAGGTTTGGCTTGTCCGAATTCGGGGTCAAGCAGCTCCTTGACATGCTCTTGCTTTTCTTCGGGCTTGGCCTCTTCAACCTCTGGTTCAAGCAAGTCGTCGACATGCTCAGGTAGTGGAATGGCAGCAGCGAGCTCGGCATCAGGAGACTCCTTCTCCTTTGGGGCATCGACTGGCTTGAGAGACGTCTCCGGTTTGAGCGACTCGTTGGCATGCTCAAGAGGCGGAACTGCGGCGGCGGCGACGGCTGCAGCCTCAGCGGCTTCGGCTGCAGCCTTCATCTCAGCCTTCTTTTTCTTCTTCTGCTTGTTACTCAGGCCAGCAAAGGTGTCCACGTCGACCTCAGTCTGCTGTCCGGGCTGAGCCTGCTCAACCTCCGGTTCGAGCGACTCAGCGACATTCTCAGGTAGTGGAACAGCAATGGCAAGCTCGACATCGGAAGACTCCTTCTCCTTGGGGGCATTGTCTGGTCCAAGAGATTCTCTAGTCTCGGGAGAGGTCTCTGGGACAGGTTTCGAGATCTCAGGAAGAGGAACACTTGCAGCTGTTTCCGCTTCCGTGGTGGTCTTCGTTGCCTTCTCAGCATCAATTGGCGGCTCCGAGACGGCTTCCGGAAGGGGACTTGAGAAGACGAGGGGTTCCTTGGCTTCAGAAGAGTCAGCATCGTTGGTTACACTAGCGGCAGCCGCGGCCGCGGCAGTAGCAGCTGCCATTGCTGCCATCTTCTTTTTTTTCTGCTTCTTGCTCAAGCCAGCAAAGAGATCCTCTTCACTTTTGGGCACCTCCTCGATATTGACTTGCTCCTCGACCTTGGCCGGTTCTTCAGGCACCTCCTTGATATTCGACTGAGACATGTCTTCAACCTTCTCAGAGAGCGGTTCAGCTGAAGCTTGCTCGATCTCGCGGATCTCCGCAGCATGTTCAAGGATTGGCAAAGAAGTCGGCAGGGCCTTCGCGTCGAGAGCGGTGTCAGGCTGGTGCTCGATAGAGGCCAAGGAGTCAAGAGGAGCATCAAAAGCTTCGTCTGAGGCATCAGGGAGAGGGATAGCCGCCGCTTGTTCAATAGCGGGTAGGAAAGTGGACGGTGCCTTTGTTTCGATAGCAATCTCCGGCTTGGGCGTGGGCTGAACGTCAGCTAGGGACTCCAGGGGAGCTTCGAACACCTCATCCGAGACCTCGGGTAGCGGGATACCCGCGGCTCGCTCGGCTTCAGTTGTCTCCGCGGTCTGTTCAAACACAGGCGCGAGGGCGGGCTGCGGCGTTGTGTCTGCTTCGGAGGCAGCTTTGCTGTTCTGCTCAGTCGGCTCGGCAGATCGTTCAAGCTCCTGCATCTCGGCCTGAGCCTGCTCCCAAGCCTTCTTGATCTTGAGTTGCTTTTTTCTCTCCTTCTTGGAGAGCTTCTTGTCAGACGCGTCGTCCTCGAGCAAAGGCTCAGATGTAACGGTTTTGGGAGCGACATCTTCGACCAGAGCACTGCGATCCACAGGTACGTCCTCCGCGACGGATTTGCCGGCGTGATGCCTGCCATCAAGCACAGCTGGAAGGTCCTCGACTGCATGGGGTGCCTGAACAGTGGGCTCCACAGGCGGAGTATCTTGAGTTGAAAGCAGCGGGTCATCGGCGCGATCAATTGAGGGACCAAAATCGGCTGAGAGAAGCGCATGCTCGTCGGCAGACGCAGCAGGAAGCGGTGGCAAAACATCCAAATTAATCTCATCGTTCGAGGAGACAGCGACTGAGGGAATCTCGGCCAAGTGCCCCACAGATCTGTCGACTGGCGCAACGTCAATAGTGTTGCTAGTTGAGGCGTGAACTGGCTCCTCGGTTGGCATGGCGCGAGTCTGATCGATTGATGGCAAGAAGTCCTTGTCGGTGGAGTCAATTGCGAGGTGCTCCGCTGACACCAACGCTTCTTCGACATCTGGCGTAAGAGCAGAAGAAGTAGGCCCATCAGAAGGGAGGGCAATGCCATCGACTGACGCGCCCTTGCCCTTCTTCTTCTTTTTCTTGTCTTTCTTGGACATCCTGCCTTCGATTACGGGTAATTCCGCTGGTTCGGGAGCATCCAAAGTCTTTCCGTCTCGACCAATCTCTGTAGACTTGTCGTGAGACTTGAGACGGTCTACGAGATACGCAGCTCCCAGACCAGCCGCGGCACCTCCCAGTAGAGCGCCAATAGCATCATCGCGGGAGTGGCCGTCATGGTCAATCTCGGTCAAATTGGCGGCAACATCGCGCGATCGGTTCAGTGTAGGGCTTGATGGTGTGTCTGGTGTGTCACGATCCATTAGATTTTTGATGATTGATGGGGGCGTCATGTGTAGGAGATACGAACTTCTTTCTTTGGACGTCGTCTCGACTTGTTCCGGTTCGGGCATCTCAGTTGCGTGTGTCACGGGGCTGTCGGGTAGAGCAGGTAACTGCCCTGACTTGAACTCCGGAATGTTCGAACGGTGAGTAGGACTGGCAATGGCCGTTGCCGGGGATGTCATAGGGCTAGCAGGAAGTGCGGGCAGCTTCTCTAGCTCATGCTCTGACAAGTCCAACCCCCTGGCGGTATCTGCAGACGGGGGAAGGCCAGGTGATGCCGCATCAAACATGGCACCGGCATGCTGGACTGCGTGCTCTGCCTTCGGAGTGGTTTCCTGCGAGCTGAAACGGCGCGTTGTTTGTTCAGGATAGCGCGACATATCCGTGTCAAGACGAAGGTCAGGCTCAAAGGGCGATGCCTGAAGCTGATGGAAGTAATTCACATCCTCATCACGCAGGGTGAATTCTGGTGCAGGAGATTCCCGCGATGACGGCTCGCTTGGAGGCAGCTCTGGGAAATCAATGGGTGGCTCCATTGACTGAGCTGCGGATTCCTGACGAGCCTGTTCAAGCAGGTAGAGGGGCTTGATCTCGCGACTGTTCTCCCACGAGATGGGCCTCGAGGGGCGCCTGGACAGGGAAGCGGGATGAGGAGGGGTGATGTGTGTGGTCTCGGGGAACGTCGGCACCGCTGGCGAGGTGACAGGCGAGACTCCGAAGGTACCTGGAGACGAAGGTGTCGACCTCTGCCCCAGTCGCAGCTTGAAGGGTACGGCTGTCTGACTTGGGCTTCTGGTCGGTGTCTCCATGTTGCTACGCTTGCGGGCGTGTGTCTTTGGCGTCTTGGTCTCGTGCTGACGCCTCCGCTCCTCCGGTGGCGTCTCCGGCCGGCTGTCGGGCAGGGCAGGAAGTTCATCCAAGTCTGTCTGGGTGGGAGAGCCAGGAGTGCTGGGCGGCATTGGGCTGGGTGGCAGGGGGAGGAAATCTCCGTACTGAGGGTCGATGGCAGGTCTAATAGTCCGCGGCACGATCTCAGGGTCGACGATGTCTAGGTCTCGCGGGGGACTGGCGGATCTCTCGCGATCTTGAAGAGCATCTGACGACTCTTCCAACTGCGGTTCGGTGGCGTTGGAGCGGGACATCATGGAGCCCAAAGCTGCCACGGCGCTCGCCAAGCCGGCACCCGCGCCAAGGGTGCCGGCATTATCTAAAAAAGACGACTTCTCGTCCTTGCTGGAAACATCCTTGCTGCTTCTGTTTCCAAACAGGTTGTTAAAGAAGCCGCTACTGCGTTTCTCATCTTCCTTGGGACTCTTCTTGTCGTCTCGGCTGCGTCTCTTACGTTCGGAGCTTTCCGACACCACCGACCTGGCATCGTCGTCGTAGCGAGTTCCATTCGAGTGTCGGTCAGACTTCTCACGACGAGACGAACGGTCAGAGGTTACGGAAGCTGCGTCTCGATCGTCCTCACGGCGACTCTTGGAACGACGTTCTGACTTTTCGCTCCGTGTGGCGGGATCGGACACAACTGAACTAGCATCCCTATCATCGAAGCGACTGCTGCGGGACCGGCGATCGGATTTTTCACGCCGGCTTGAGGGGTCAGAGACCACCGAACTGGTGTCTGCGTCCTCGTATCGGCTGCTCCGGGATCGACGATCTGACTTGTCGCGGCGGCTCGCAGGATCAGAGACAACTGAGCTCACGTCGCGGTCGTCAATCCGGCTACTCTTGGAACGGCGCTCGGACTTGTCTCGCCTGCTCGATGGGTCAGATACTACAGAGCTCACATCTCGCTCTTCGAACTTGGAACGGTCCCGCTGAGACTTGGCCGGGAGGTCGTCCCAGTCTTCAAGATCGTCGCGAGTGCTGCTTCGTTCGACGGTTGGGGTCGCGGTGTAATCGCTCTGTTTGTCGACGTCTGTCCATTCGTCTGAGCTCTGCTTGGATTTCTTGGACTTCTTCTTCTTCGCATGCTCATCCCATGCGTCGTCGCCGGCCTCTTGGGGTTCGGTAGAGCGGTATGAATCCCTCTCGGGCAATTTCTCGCGGGACGTGCTCGGGTCCTTGTAAGAAGATGGCTCTTGAGTTTCTGGCTCATCATCGTCATATGTGACAATGATTTCAGATCTCGAGCCACGACTCTTCTTCTTTTTGTCCTTCTTTCTTGTTTTCGCCGATGTGGAGGCTTCAGGGTCTGTTAGGGCAGCTTCGGACTCCACCGTTCTAGAGACGGGAGTCTCGTCATGAGGGTGTGTTGTCAGAGAAGAAGTGGGCAAATCCCAGGTGGGTGCGTCTTGAAATCCACGAGTCTTCGGGCCAAGCGCCACAACGGTTTCCGGACTTTGAGGGGTATCGTAATAGCTGCTTGGCCTCTCATAAGAAGGGCCTGTCTCTGCGTAGGGAGCAGGTTGGTCTCGGTAAGCCGTTGTAGGCTCGCCATAGTAACTGTGAGGTCTAGCGTAGGCGGGCATTGCTTGCGAGTATGGAGCGTGTGCAGGGTGTGGTGCAGCTTCGGCGACATCGTGGTAACTGTGAGGTCTGGCGTATGCATGATCCATCGGAGCAAATGGATTAGGCTCAGGTCGTGATGTGGCTTCGGGAACGTCATCATAGCCGTGTGGTCTTTCGTAGACAGGGGCCGGTGCAGACGAAGGAGCAGGTTCGGGCTGTGATCTTGGTTCGGGGGCACCATACGTCTCTTCAGGTAGCACGTTGTCGAGACTTTGCCTTTTTGATGCCTTTTGCTTGCGCTTCTCCTTCTTGCTCAGCTTCCTCGACGGTTCAGTCTCTTCAACTGGCGGCTCCTGCTCGATGAATGGCACCTCCTTAGCCTTGCCCTTGTCACGACGTTCTTTTTCACGAGGAGAATCGGTCGCGTGGCCGTTGTGCATTTCCTTCTCTGTGACTGGTGTTTCTGGCACCTCGCCAATGACAAAGCCGCGGTCGCCTGCAGTGGGCCCATCATGGGTATGATCGGGACCATAGATGCCCAGGTCGGTGACAGTCTCGGCAAACGGCTGCTGGTAAACGGCCGGCTCACTTTGTCCTGGTGGGCTGTCGCGACGCATGTAGGTGGGGTTGTCGATGACAATGTTGGGATCAAACCCAGTGTCTTGAAGACCAGCCGCCAACACAGAGGCAAATTCTAGATCATCTGCAAAGGCGCCAGGCATCCTAGACGTCTGAGGGCTAGAAGGCTTGGGGCCTGGGGCGGGAGGCAAGTCTGCGTCATCTTCGAACGACGTGGTGAGCTTAGATGGGGCAGCTTCGATTATGGGTGATATAGGCTCGACGCTGCGGGACTTTGGTGACTCCGGGGGACTGTGTCGCTCCCTTTCCTCTTCGGGCTTGCTCTCGAAAGGATCGCGCATCTTGGGGGCTTCAGAGGCTTCAGAGACTGCAGCCGCTGCAGCTCCACCGGCAACGCCCGCAGCAATGATGCCCCACGGTGAACTCTTGCCCAGTTTCTTTTTCTTCTTCTTAGACTTACTAGAGGTGCTGGACAGCTCCTTGATTGGAGGCTCTGGGCTCTCGATCTGGAAGCTCTTGGTCTCATTCTCGCCCCAAGTGACTGACTTGGCTGTGGGCGTTGTCGGCCTTTCCACAACCTCGCCTCTGGGTCCAAAAACGATTTCTGTGGCAGGCGCGGTCGCAGAAGAAGGTGGCTCAGCTGAAGTAACGGATCGTGGTTGAACAGGCTCTTGACTTCTACTGGAGGGTTGTTCCTGCGCTTGCTTCTCAGGGGCGGGCGTGTGGCGCGGGGTAACAACGGGTGTGGGTAAGACGAGGTTCAGCAGAGGTCGCTCACGCTCAGCAGAAGGGTCGCGAGACTGGAAGATTGGCTGTGCGCCAGGATCGAGTTGACGGTGAGGCAGACGGAAGCGAGAAAGCTCGTCGGGGATGATGACATGATCAATGCGAACATCGGCGTTGGGGGCGTCGTACGGGCTCTTGTCGTGAGGATGATCCATCTCGGGCGGTGTTACGATGGTAACGATGTCAGGGCCCTCATCGTGGTCTTGCCACTTGCCGACAACAGACTCATCATGAGGAGACGCACTGCGCGAGCGGATCTCGTCCTTGGCGATCTTGCGGGCGATGACAGTCTCACGGTAGTACCGATCGGCCTCTTCCTGTATGGCGTCCTTGGTAGTTCGGGATCTGTCGCGAGAGCCATCCTCGGTCACATGATCGTTGCGATGCTTGCGTGATCTCTCCTCTTCGACGGCGATGGCAGAAGCAATGGCGGCCGCGGCTATAGGCACGGTAGCGTGCTTGGCCTCATCGTAGATGGACTTTGCAGCATGCTGTTCCTCCTGAAGAGAATCTCTCCGGCGGCGCGGCTCAGGGGTCCGGGAACGGTCTCGTGCTCCTTGCTGATACTGCTCCAGACGCTTCTCGAGTTCAAAGGAGTCTTTGCGGCTCATTCGGGATTCGGAGTAGTCGGGCTTCCTCGGCGGAGAATCGTCAAAGTTGGGTTCGCGGTCGACGGTCACGACCTGGGGAGTCAGTGGCCTCTTCGGAGTGGCGTACTTTGGCGTTTGGAACGCATCATCAGCGACCTGGAACTGGAAAGGGTCAATAGGGGCTTGTGCATTGGGGGCCTCGGGATGCTCCACCCCATGTTTCTCTCGGGGCGCCTCAGTCGGCTTCTCTACCCGCTTCACATCCCGGCGTTCATCCACGACCACCACCGGCTTACGGTCATCCCTGCGAGGTTCCTTTGGTTCCTCACGTGGCCGGTGGTCATCTTTTGGGTCGTACTCAACTCGAATCTCGTCACCCTGGGGCAGCTTGTACACCTCCGGGCGAGGGTCAGTCTCGACGTCGGGCTTCTTCAAGGCCTCATAGGCGGGATCAGAACAGCCAGCCCGACGCTTGTCTCGGTCGTCGATGATCTCAACGTTGTTGCGTCTATGGGGCCGGCGGGGGTCGTTCTGATCACGAGGATCGCGGTCTTCCAGCTCAATTGGTACTGGGCGTTCGGGCTCTTCCTCTATACGACGGCTTTGCCAAGAATCTCGGAAGTCATTCCGATGATGGTCCCGTACCTCACTTCGACGGTCATCTCGTCGTTCCATGTACTCGCCCGAGTCCCTACGTTTAGCAGCCATGGTCACACCCATAGCCGCAGCGGCAATGCTTACGCCAGCGATGGCATTCTCAGCAGCGCTTCTTCCCTTGGGCGGCTGGCGGGGTTGCTTAGAGTTCCGGCGCTCCTCCTCCTCGAATCTTTCTGCATCGTACACCTTGGACGGGAGAGGGACAATGGGAATAGGCTGCTGGATGGGGACTGGGTCGGGCCGGGCACGCTGAGGGACATCCTGGCGGGATGAGGTTACAGAGCTACGGTCGTAGTCAAACTTGTCCGGGTCTGAGGTCGGCACGGGGTATATACGCTGCATCGGTTGTTTCCCAGTCTTGGGCGATTCGACCTGCGCTACCGTCTCTTCGTGGTGGCGCCGGGAAGAGCCAGCGGACCGGGGGTCTTCTTCGCCAAAGCCGCATGGGCTTTTTACGGCGCCGCGAAGAGAGTTTACGGGACCGAAGAGGCGTGGGTCCACAATGGTACTCCTCCGCGAGGGTGGCTTGATCTGCTCCGGAGGCTCGTTTGAAATTCTTGCCGACTTGGACGGCTTGATGGAGGAGCCATACGCCAGGCCGTTGTCGGAATCATCCGTAGTAGTAGACTCATCTTCAGACGCCGATTCCCAGTCATCGTCCGAGGAGGAAGCGTTTTCATTAGGTTTAGAAGTGCCAGATCCTCTGGTCTTGGTGTCGCTCTTACTCTTACTACGGAAATGGCTGAAGGCGGCGGCTGCGGCTGCGGCACCAGCCGCGGTACCGGCCAGCTGGGACGCCCGTGACTTGGAAGCAGACTTGAGGTCATGCTCATTCTGCCTGCGCGCAATGTCTTGCAGTTGGCGTCCAATCTCGAGAATTTCTTCGTCGGTCTTATCACGAGGCATCGGGGGCCGCGGTTGTTGTTGGTGGGCGTCAGTCGGTTCAGCGCGGTACAACGAGGGACTCGCGTATCCCTGTGGCCTGGGGCTCGTAAGCTGACTCTTGTCGCGGTCAATGTAGCCGCGACCGTAAGCCATGTCAGAATTGACGGACGAAGAGGAGGAATTGCCAAAGGAGAGAATGCGGGCCTTCTGCTTCTTCCTCCTGCGACGTTTGCGCTGCTCCGAGGGGGCTCTGAAGAAAGTATTAAAGATGCCGCCAAACTTAGGGCTCTTTGCTGAGATGTTGAGCATGGAGGAGGAGGTGGAGGAGGACGAGGAAGAACTGGAGCCGCCTCGCGGGCGCATCCTCTCGGACTGATGGTTTCCTTGGTATGGCTGGGGTTGGGCATGTCGTTCGGGTTCGCCATAGCCTAGAGGCTGAACGAAGGCCTCGGAAGGGGGATACTGTTGTTGCGGCTGGTGGTGTTGGTGATGTTGGTACTGGTCGGGTTGGGGGTATCGTTGGGGCTCGCCATATCTCTGAGAATCGGGATATCTCTCAGAAGGGGCGGCATATCTCTCGGTTTCGGGGTATCTCTGAGATTCGGTATAGGATTGGGGGTATTGCGATTGCGACGGCGAATAGACGGACGGCAAAGGCTGCTGCTGTGTTGGGGCCCGAGATGAAGGACCAGGAATACTCGATACGACGCTCTCGTCGGCAGCGCTGGCGAGTTGCTCGCGAGAATCACGGCGGTCTCTTCTTCGCCGCCGAGAGCTCTCTGGGCTCCGGCGACGCGGATCTCGCATCATGGTCGCGAAGGCGTATCGAAAGCTGTCGTGCGCATCTGTCGCTCTTTCGTGGTTCGGGGGCGATTTGATGATGGAAATGTTCGACGGCGTGGGGTGTCGAATTGTGTGGTGGTGTGGTGAATTAAAGATGAGGCTCTGTGCTTTGAAGTGCGCAGACAATAATCTGGCGATGTTATTGTTTTGTTTTTTGAGGAATAAGCGACTGGACGAAGCGGGACAGGCCGTGAAGCTATATCCCGGGGGTGTTCCCCCAAAAAACTGACTGAGCGGGGGGGGTGGTGGGAAGCCTTCAAAGTGTGGAAGGGGGGGAGAGACTTCCTTCCATGGGAGGCAAGGAGGGAAAGGGTGGCTGGGGATTTGGGAACACTCACGCACAATCTGGGACGACGATGGGCGCTGGGAAAGGGGACTGGGAGCTAGGCCCTTCCTGGTTCAGAGAGGCAGCTGGCAGCGCAGCACACCTTACGGATGCTGCGTAGGGAGGGAGTACATGGGGGAAGCTGGGCTCACCTCAGATGGCGGCGGGGTCGCCCAGCGGTCGCGGTCCACTAAGACGAGGTGAACAGGGTGAGGCGAGCTGCCTGTGAAATTGGCAATTGCTGCAATTGGGACGAAAAGGAACTCGACGGGCAGCAGCTACGGCCATCCCTGTAGCTTCCCTGGTCCGTTGTTTCCACCTCAGCTCCCATGGTCCAAGTGTCCGACCGGCCACCGCGGCACCCTGTCGAAATTGCCCGCGCTTACGTATGGATGCCTTATTGTATGCTTACCTAACATTTCATACTCACCTTGCACACTGCACTTTCTTCCCATCCATCATCCACTCTTACATAGTAGGTATCCATACTACCTACCTTATGCCATGCATTTTCTCGGCCATGGTTCAGCTCTTTTCTCGCTTCTGCAAGTCACTTTTGAGTCTGGAGCCTTGAGTCTCGAGGTCAGTGAGTGCGCCCAATGCCACCATCCGCAACGTCCCATGTGGAGATCAGCCCGGCTGGCCTCCCCGCTCCAGCGCTCCCTCGCCAACACATCCTTACCGCCTCTTTCATGAGCCTTTCTTTTTCGAATCGACGAGACGTGTCGAAGCCGTCACACAAAGATGCGATACGCTTCATCTGTTGATTCATCATTGACTCACCAATGGCTCCTCTAATTCTTATGGTCTGATCCACCCCCCTCGCGTTTTTCATCTCTTCTCCAACACCTCAAGACAGAGTAAACCACAGCGGCGAACAGGGATCTGCATCGTCGTCCTGCAGCCTACTGCAGCCTGTCTAACCAGGTCACCTGCGGCAACACGTGTAACCACTCTCACTGTCACCCTCTGCTGTGCTGGGAGATTATTCATTGGCGACCTCTCCAAAGGTACCGCAGAGCGCTACAAAGTCACAGACTATGAGAGATTCCTAACCCAGTTGTGATTGGGCCGCTGACCGTAGGCCACCGCGTGAGCCACAGTCGCAGACATCGGCAGATCGGGTATCGCGATGGCGCCAAAAAAAAAAAGTCTTTGATCCTGAAGAGGGGCGAATTTCCCGTCTGCGCCTGCATGGCGGCCTGAAGCAGGGCGCTGGCTGGTGTTACTCGAAATCGAATGGGTGTCACAGCTTTTCCCAAGTCTTCACAACCTCTCGCGGACGCAAGTCGTACTTAAAGCTCCCAGCCTAAGGTAGCTTCTTTCCGCCGGAGATCCACATTTGCCGTGTTGTCCGTCGGCCCCACTCTCGCCGACTCCCCGAGCCCGCCGGCCCGGGATCCTGATTTTACGGCCCTCTCGGCAACCATGGCGGCGACCATGGAAATCATGTGGACCGCTTTCCAAAAGTGCTATGAAAGGAATACAATCGCATCTTCTGTTCTAGCCGACTCCGAAAATGTTCTAGGCCTGTCGGGTGATTAAAACTCTAGCAACGGCTTGGTTCCGAAACCATGGGTTAATCGTCTGGCCGAACCAAAAGGTGTCGGAACGATCCCGAACATGAACCCTATCCAAATCCCTATGGCTATCAGCTCAACCTTCAACGCCATGATAAAAGCGTTTGATCTTTTCGGAAACTGCTGTCATGCTGTCATTATTCACCTTTGTATCAACATATTTACATTATTCAGATAATTCTATATCTTTAAAATGGTCGTGACGCAAATCCACGACGTTCTTGAACGCCTAAGACAAGAACATTTCGTCGCCTCCATAATCTTCGCCGCTGTAGCTACCGCCGCACTTCTAACCACAATTTTGCTTCAGTACTTCAAACCAGTCGGAAAACGCAGAGGAAAAGATGGAAGACGTCCCGTTCTACCACCAGGCCCCGAAGGCGTTCCCCTGTTCGGGAACCTGCTTCAAGTCAGTGCCAGCAAAGGAGACCCCTACAACAGAGGCGTACGTATCCATCTCTTCATGTGTGGAGCTGTGCGTGAACATTAATCTAACGTCTGATCCAAAATATACCAGCTCCTCTCCATGGCAAAATACGGAGAAATGACCACCCTCCACCTAGGCTCAAAGACCCTAGTCCTCCTCAACAGCAGCCGCGTCGTCAGCGAAATCATCGCCAAGCGAAGCAGCCAGACGAGCACCCGAACCCCCATGCCCATCTCCAACGACATCGTCGGCCGCAACCGCAAGTCCCTCATCATGTCCCAAAAGGACTGGGCCGAGCCCCGGCGCGTCATGCACTCCCTCCTCAGCGGCACCGCCCTCCGCCAGTACGGCGAGTTCCAGGAGCTCGAGAGCACCCAGATGATGGCCGAGTACGTCTTCAAGCCAGGCATGTGGTACCGCCACCACTACCGCTACGCCAACTCGGTCATCCACCGCATCGCCCTCGGCGAGCGCCTCGTCAAGAGCGAGGAGGAGCTCGTCGACATGCAAAACGCAGTCACCTTCTTCGTCGGCTCCATCGGCAGCTCCATCATCGACTGGTTCCCCGACCTCGCAAAGCTCCCGCGCTTCCTCCAGCTCTGGCGCCCGCACTGGGAGGCCCTCGGCCAGTGGAACTACGACCTCTACGACCGCTGGTACGGCCCCATCGCCGCCAAGGTCGAAAACGGCACCGCGCCCCCGTCCTTTGTCCGCGACACGCTGCTCCACCCGGACACCAAGTACAAGGGCGACCACGTCGACGGCATGTACGTTGCCATGCAGCTCATCGAGGCCGGCAGCGACACCACCCGCGAGGCTCTCAACATCATGACCATGGCGGCGCTCGAGTACCCGGCCGTGTTCAAGGCGGCGCGCGCAGAGGTCGACGCCCTCTGCGGCGTCGACGAGCAGGCCCGTCTGCCCACCCTCGCCGACATGGACGACCTGAAGTACATTTGCGCCATGGCCAAGGAGATCCTGCGCTGGCACGTCATCTTCCCGCTCACGCCGGATCACACGACGTCCGCGGACATGGAGTTTGAGGGGTACTATTTCCCCGCGGGCACCGGGTTCGCCATCAACGGGCCCGCCGTCGCCAACGAGTGCGAGGATCCGGACGAGTTCAAGCCCGAGAGGTGGCTGGACGGTCACGAGGCGGATATCGCGCATGGGTTGTGGGCTTTTGGCGGCGGACGGAGGATATGTGTGGGATACCGCCTGGCTCAGCGTAGCATGTTTTTGAATATCGCTAGGCTGGTTCAGTGCGTCGACTACAAGCCTGTGAGTGGTTTTCCCTCTTTGTCCCTCGAATTCGGATTTTGTAACAGCACTAACTAGAGACCTCCTTCTAGAACGGACCGTACAACAGAAACATCCTGAACCTGGAGGCCACGGGCGAGCCCTTCCCTGTCAAGGTCGACATGAGGAACAAGCATTACGAGTCTCTCATCCTGCGAGAGGCTCAGGTTGCTGGTGTTTTGGAGGACGCTAAACTGATGCGGGACTGAATTAAATGCTCGCCCTCCCCCTTTTCTATAGAAACGCTTTTGATTTTGGCATTTGAATCTCGTGCCTGCCTATTCTGCGCGGTGTAAGGTAGATTCGGACTTATATTCTACATTATCAAAGTCTATCGAGACAGTGGGAGTATTCACTGATGCTGTGTAATAATACCGTGTAAAAGATATCGAGAATCGCCCGAGCAGCCAGCAAAGGTAGAAATTGGAATGAATTCTACACTATCACATACAAAGTAAAGAAAGCTCTGCTTCTTTTGTTACCACTTTGATGTTGCCTCTCTTTCTCTCTGTCCCTCTGTCTCTCCCTCTTAAAAAGTCGCTCCACTTTCTATCATGAGTTCAAAGTCTCGTAACCCATCACCTCCCACCCGCGAAAGAAAGACATAGGATCAGACTCAAGAAGCAGCGAGACATCGATATCCGCCGGGAGCGACCAGCTCTCCTCCAACCCCGACGCGCAATTCATCTCAGGGTCCATCTGTTGTCCCGATGGTTCCCTAGCTATAGTAAACAAAACGTACCGTGTCAGCTTTGCTGTAATGACGGCATACCCATTTGAGCGAGAAAAACAAAAAGGCTCACCTGCTTGTAATTGCGTGACGGCCCCGTCAATCTTGCGCAGCAGATCCAGCGACTTGCGAGCCGAAACGCTGAACGCCGCGATGCCCTGCAGAATGCCCTGGCATTGCTCCCACGATGCAGACGTTGCTGTGTGGTCCAGCCCTGTCCAGAGGCGTGGACAGAGGCGGCAGACGATCAGGACTAAGCCGGCGGCACAGGCATCTGTGATATTTACATGATCTCGCGTTAGCCATCTTTTCTGCTTACTATACTCAAATGAGGACCAATCGCCTTGGGGAATCAAAGAGAAGAAATGAAGGTGGAAGTGTCTCACACAAGCTATTCCACCACCACGCCCCCGTCGTGTCCGTCTGATACGAGCCCTGCACCAGATCAATGAGCTGCATGGCCGCGTCTACACACGCCCTAGCACACTCCGTCAGGAACGGAGCCCTGAGGCCCTTGTCCCGCGACCTGGACGCTGCTTCCGATGATGGGCGGCCACCGGCGGTGTCCCGATGAGGTCGGGCGTACTCCGCAGAGAGATCGGTGAGAATCGGCCTGTGGAGCATGAGGCGGAGATACAAGAACCTATATCCAAAGAAGTATCCCCCATGTTTAGTCCCCGGCTCCCGTCTGATATCGAGTACACAAGAATGGCGGCGCGTACCTTGCGTGTAGAACGTGCTTTTGCGTCGCGAGGATACGGAGGTCATCTGGAGACGAGACCCCGTCCAGCACGGAAGCTTCAGACTCGCCTCCCCACGAGAGGAGCGGCGGTACCAAGTCCTCAAAGTCGGTTAATTTGGAGTCGAGCTCGACAATGGCGTCGAAGCTGAGTCCTCCTATGCCTCCTCCTCCTCCTCCTCCTCCCCGCGTGCCGCAACTTGCTCTCTGGGCGGGATAACGGTTTCGCCACGCCTGGTAGACTTGTGAGAGGATGTTCTCGAGTATCAAGCTCAGCTTGAAGCTTTGGGTGATGAACTCCAGCTTGGGCTGCTCGAGACTCTGGTCTGCGCCGGAATGGGATCTGGAGAGTAGTTCGTTTGCTGATAGATTAGACGTGACGGTAGGTCGACCGAATGTCATGCTCACGAGGCTGACAACATGTTAGCCGTTACTACCTTTTTTCTCATGGTCCCAAATGACCCTGGCAACGTAGATAAACGATGATAGGGGGGCAACTCACGTATCGAGAATAACACAACCCTGCCACGTCCGCTGCCTAACGTCCATCTCCAAAGTGAACCCTCCCTCCTCCTCCGCCCCAAGGCCGGCCCCCATATCCCGCGCCGCCACAACATCCATATGAAGCCCAAGCCCCTGCGCAATCCGACACGCGATCCCAACGGCATTCCAGCACCGATCGGGAAACGGCGTCCCCTGAAAGACCAAGCCGCACAGCAACAGCGTCTGCACGACGCCGAGGTTGTTCTTCTCGAGTAGGTCGACGCTGAGGCACTTGCGGCTCCGCAGCAGAAAGACCTCGATGCTCTTTGCCTTTTCCGCGCAGGTGAGGTCCGCAAAGTTGCAGGCGAGCGCAAAGATGGAGTTGAGGGCGCTGTGGAAGACGATCGTGGTGGCGTCTGCGCCGGGGGAACATCCCAGACCTACGCCGCGGAAGTCCGTTTCTCCTGCTTCGAAGGCGGCTACTGCTGCTGCGGTTGTCGAGGTCGTCGGTTGCCAGAGGGATTCGTAGGCTCTTTCAAAGGCCGGTCTGTGGAAGACGGGGTAGAGGTAGTGTACTCTTTGAAAGTACAGTTGAAGAAGATAATCGGCAAACGGGCGAGGCGGTAAGAGGAACTTGTCAAAGTCGGCGTATAGAGAAGACGGCGTCGAGAGGGACGGCAGTGCCTGCTGGCTCCGAAATAGATTGGATGACTGCACTCTTGCAGGGGCCGAGTTCATCGCGCTGTAGGCCTCCTTTAAGAACGCAACGGCCGAGGAGCTGCCGTAGAAGTCGGGCTCCGCCAAATTGTTAGGCGAGTCCTCCAGATCATCCTCGGCGAGAATGGTGCCCATGGCCGTCACCCGTCTCGCCTCGCTGGAGCCGTCGACGCCAACGGACGAGTACGGCGATGGCAGCTGGGCTGCCGCTACCGCTGCTTGGTCGTCGGATGTGTCCATGGCGCAGGCGGCGTCTAGTGCGGTAAAGTCCTGGGTTCTCGCAGCGGTGGATGAGATATTGTCAGCGGCGGAGCCGTGAGCGTCTTGCGCAGTGACTTCGAGAGTGTTGATGTCGATGCCATGGGATGTGCAAGCCTGTTCCAGCTTGCGGATGCGCTCATGAAGCGTCTTTGTATAGCTTTTTCGAAGGTAAGTGAAATGAAGGAAGAAAACAGCAAATTGTCACAGCGCTATAAACTCACTCATCGCTACATGCCGTTCTTGCATTGTTCACTGTGTAGACGCAATGCTCGAGGGCCAGTGATCGTCGTAGACACGTCGAGCATATGGGCTTGCCTCCATCGCAGCGTGCCTTGCGCTCTCGGCATGGTTCACATGCCAGGGTAATTTTGCGACGACGCTGCCGTTCCTGTCGCCCAGGAGGCATCGCGAGGTGCTGGGTCCTGCCGTGACGGTCGTGTGTGCTAGCTTTGAAGATGTTGAACTTTTGGTGAGAAGCATGCGCTCCTGCGTTAACAAGTTGTTAACACCGGAATATTCTCATGGCTGGGTGAAATTGTGATTGTCGGAAACTTGAGAACAGATCAATAGAAGTACTGACAAAGTACCCATACCAAGAATATCAACAACCCTACGGAGATGTCGGATGGAGATGTTCATCACGGGATACCATGGAGTGTACAGGCTCAAGTGAGTTTTGCGGGGTTGAACGGCTATTCCCTTGACGTGCAGATCGGACCGTGAAGTTCCCCGGCGGAAGCGGGCCACCGGGACGAGTTGAAAGCCCACCGGGGACTTAGCAGTTACGCTATGACTATCACCACCACAATGATTGGTGCGTATTTTCGCCGTTTGCCTCGACATGGGTGCAACTGCCGGACCCGTCAACTACCTTACTTACTTGTATTGACGAAATACCTGGCATGCCCCAGATTTGGTGGTCAGATCTTGGTGAGCTTATGTGTTTACTTCGATGCAAGTAAGGTAGGACGCCTTATCGAAGGATATGGGTGCAAATGGATCGACTATTCTACGTGGAAATCTTTGATGCATTAATTAAAGAAACACTGAAAACCCTGGGAACGATTTGGCCGCTAACAATTTGAGGAAATACATAATGACGGCAAGAATAATTTACTTGGGAATAGAGGAAACAAGCACATCAAAAGAAATCCGAGCCTGGGCTACAGCCGCAACAAAGCCTGTCTTGTCAAATGTCCCCCAAGCCGCGAGACCAAGCAATGTAGTCAGGACGAAAAGCAATGCGCGCGGCTGCCTCTTCTTGATCGACGAGACCGAACTCGTTTGTCCCTGTAACGCAAAGAGTCAAGTTAGCTTCACCATTCACTCAAGAAAGTTCGTCGTCTCTACTCACGCTATACTCCCAGTCGGACCACACCGGAAACAGACAGCGATACCAAAAGTAGCCTTGGGTATAGGGGTAGCTCATGGCGTTCCACGTCTTGGTGCCGTCCGCCGACTTTTGAAAGTACCAACTGCTGCACCCCGAGTTCCATACCCTGTGCTGCAAGGCGTCTTGGATGGTGTCGGTGTACGCCTCCTCGGCCTCACGCTTGATCACCGCAGTGCTCGCTCTGCCTTTCAGCGCGGGCTTGAAGACGCGCAGGGCGTAGTTGATGGAGTTTTCCAGGGCCATGATGGACGACGTGTGTCCCGTCGCAGCGTTGGGTCCTTTATGGTGTTAGCAGTCAGGGGAGAACTCCTCAAGGGAATATGAACATACCCATAATCATGACAAAGTTGGGAAAGTTGTTCATCATCGAACAATTATACCCCTCGGGCCCCCCAAAGGACTTCCAATGGCTCGGTATCGTCTCGCCATCGCGCCCAATCATATTGACCCCGGCAACGAACTCGTTGGTGTGGTATCCGTTGGCCAGGATAATCACGTCGGCCTCAATCAGCCCCTTTGCCGTCCTGACGCCCTCCGGCACAATCTCCAGCGCCTTCTCGTTCGTCAACGTCAGATTCTCGGCGTGCAGGCTGTTCAGGTATCCGGAATCGAAGATGCGCCGCTTACACCCAATCTCGAACTCCGGGATCAGTAGGTCGTGGTACTTGGCCGGCGCCGTAGACCGCATATACTCCTCCGCAACCTTCTTCTGTCCAGCTCGATACTTGCTCGCAGCTTCCGTCAACGGGAACCCCTGCAACGAGCTCTCCGCCGCGGCAAAGACGATGAAGCGCAGCAGCCGCGCCAAGCCCGGCACGGTCTTGAGCCCGGACCGAATCACGTCGGGCACCTTTCTATCAATGGGCGGGAAGATCCAGTGCTTCGACCGCACAATCTGCGTCAGCGACTTTGTCTTGTGGACGACGCTCGGGACGACCTGCGCGGCCGTACACCCGTTACCAAAGAGCACGACCCTCTTCCCCTCGAGCTCGATGTCCGGACGCCACCGGCCCGTGTGCTCAATCACGCCCTTGAAGGTGTCCGCGCCGGGAACGTCAATGTCGTTGGGTGTGACGAGCGCGCCCGTGCCGGCGAAGAGGAACTGGCACTCGTGGAAGAAGGTGGCGCCCGACTTGAGGTGGCGGAGTGAGAGGCGCCAGCGGGCGCGCTCCTCGATCCACTCGCAGCGCTCGACGAGCACGTCGAACGACATGTTGCGGACGAGGTTGTACTTGTGGGCCACGTTGTTGAGGTACTCCCAGATCTCAGAGTACGTCGGCAGGACTCGCGTCCAGTGCGGGTTGGGCTCGAAGGAGAAGCTGTACAGGGCGCTGGGGACGTCGCAGGCGCATCCTTCCGAGACACCAGAGGCTGTTAGCTCGTTGCTCTGAAGGACTGCATCGGGGGTAGATAGTCAAGAATGGGATGTCCTAGACTTACCCGGGTATCGATTGATGAACCAAGTTCCACCTAGCTGGCTATGCCGTTCAAAGAACTTTACGTCTTCGATTCCGTACCATCGCTTCAGCGTTGCTCCGAGGCCAATAGCTGCAAAGCCGGAGCCGATGCACGCGAATTGGCTGTAAGAGACATTCTCAGTCTCGCTGACGTCGATAGTTTTCGGCATGATGAAAATCGTCAAAGTCGAGAGAATGAAGTTGGTATCGGACGCTGGTAAGAGGCAAGATCTCAGTTACAAGTAGGATTATCGAGAGGACATGCAAACCAGCTGTGGAGGCATGACCATCCCATTGTTTTATTCTAGACACACCTTACACCTCATCCTTCCATCACCCGTCGTCCATCGTTACCGTTGATGTGATGTGATCAGTCTCCGGATGGTTTCCGTAAATGGACATATGGGGGGCTGCGGGCGCGTTCCTATTCGTCGGGACGATTCCGACTAAAGGCAAAGTCAGGACCCAAGGAGATGCGACGGTTACTTCGAAGCTGCGACCCCCTCGTCGTCATCTTCGATCTTCGCACTTCCGAAGCTTATGATTCGGTCTTGGCAGCAAGTCTGGAGCTGATGGACTTGATGAATTTGTTGTGTGCGTCCCTCGGCTTGAACACAGTCTTCACAGTAATGGCTTGGGATGGGTGCCAACCTTCAAGAGCGCATTCTCACGCCAACCACGCGACTTACACAGCGTTATTTAAACCGATATCGCGATGATAGGCCCATCAAGTTAGATCAAACAACGAACATTTGTAACTTGAGAAAGTATCCCTTCTGGGAGTAATACAAGACTGCAAGGTCTTGTGATTCTGTTCGATATGAAAAGTACTTCGCCAATTCGGTGCGATATGTGAACATTGGATTATATTCGGAACCCTTGATACCGACTATTTACATCTTCCAAACGCTCTTGAGAATGCGTAAAAGCAAAGATGAGGAACAGCACCGCATCTTTCCGAGCGCGTAAGCACGCATGTTCCTCCTTCTTAAGAACCGACTCCGTCATCACGCCGACTTCACACCTCCTTTCCCACCTGAAACCTCCAACTTTCCAGTCTTTCCATCAACCTTTTGATACCCCTTGAAGTTCACCTTGAGCCCCGCAGTACTCTCCCTCGCAATCCTCCAAAACCACTCGGGAGAACTCCTCTATCTCAACATTAGCAAACGGAATATTCTTCTTGGAGAAAGGATCAGGATAAGAGAGAGGAGGAAAAAGCACTCACCAACATGGCAATGTACCGCATGATACCCGGCAGGTAGATAACCCGCCCGTACCCGCTATATAACGCCTCCGTAAACGCCCCCGCAACAGCATCCGGCTCAAGCAGCGGGAACACAAAGGCCGACTGTCCCGTCTCGCCGCTGAACATGGCCGTCTTGATGAAGCTCAGTATACCCAGCGTCAGCCGGACCTTGGGCGCGTTGTGGATGTACTTCAGTTCCAGCTGAAGACTCTGTTGTTTCCCCAGATATCAGTCAGATATCTTCTCTGGAGGAGCTTCATCTCGCGCAGTCCAGCTCGTCCAATATGTTACGCATCCATGACAGAAGAAACATACCTCGTGAAGAGCCGCCAACCCGGCCTTTGTCGCCGCATAATCCGCAATCTGCGCAGGCGGCATCACAGAACTCATCGAGCTCACATTCACAATGTGCCCGTGATTCCTCCTCACCATGTGCGGAAGAAACTCCTTGATCAGCAAAAACGGCGCCAGCAGATTCGTGTTAATCGTCAGCTCTACGTCGGCATACGTCCCCTCCATAACGGTGGCACCGCGCCCCAGCCCGGCATTATTCACAAGCACCGTCGGGTCCCCGACCTCAGCGCGGATGCGCTGGCAGAGAGAGCGGATGTTTTCCTTGTCGCTCAAGTCGCACTGGTAGTAGTGCAGATTTGTCCCCGTCCCGGGCGCGGGCTGCCACGCCATGGGAACGTAGTCCACCACGACGATCGTCGTCTGCGGGTTCCTGGCGAGGAGGTCCCGCACCACGCCCGCGCCGATGCCGGTGGCGCCGCTGGCGCCCGTGATGACGACGATCTCCTTGGACCAGTCCCACATCGAGTCCGTCGTCCAGTTGTTGGCTGTCCCGCGGGCGAGGTACTCGTGGAGCCGGAGGCCAACGCCGGCGGCCGCGAGCACGCAGGAGGCGAGTTGGAGTTGGGCAAGGGTGAAGGGGATCTTGTACGCGGCGAGGACGGCTTGGTTTATCGACAGCGTTGCTGCTCCTGCTACCGCGGCCACGAGGACCGGATTGAGGATGGTCCCGCGCAGGAAGACGGCGACAGTGTCGATTGTGAAAGTCATGATGATCTCTGGTGGTGGGTGAGTGGGACTCGGGGGAGAGAGTGAATTGGACAAATGATACACTTTACAATAATTCTGGTCATCGAAATTGAGCGATCTGATCCCCCATATAGAGTGGGATGAAGACAAACATCTAAACAACAACCGTCTCAACTTCGTCCCGCCTCCGTGATCCCATCCTCTTCCCCAGACCGTTCGCCGATGGGTCCATCCCGGACCCCACATCGGGTTGGTTCCGAAGGCAATCCCCAGTTCAGCTTTCTGGAGCGGTTCCGTACGACTCCAATGTCCGTCCTCCACAAAATCCTGCAAGAAAGAACAGCCGGAGGCGGGGAAAATAGATCTTGACTTCCCCATATTTCGAGACGGGTTCTGTGTTCTCCATGTCGGCCCGCCGCGGAGTCCGTCAGTGCAGCAGCTCCCCGCTTTATACCTTGGCTCAGTAAACTTGACTACCTCGGCACGCATTTGCACCAACGTTTTGAAGCTGCAAGCTGCCTTATTTCAGCTGTTCCCCAGAATACCTAAACTCTTTCGAAAGACTTAGCTGTAGGCTCCTCTTTTCACGTCAGCAAGAAACTCGGCTCCGGCATTTCGGATCAGATCAGCAACCATGGCCCAAGCACAATCTGGTCTCCGACCTCACCAGAAGATCGGCCTCGTCTTTCATATACTATGGGGCAAGTACCATAATCGACAAGCTACATGACATAGAACTCACCGAAGAAAACAGCTTTCCCTACCTTCTTTTCAATCGTAGCTCTCGGGCTACCACGCGCCATCCGCCGCGGCATCCCGCTGAGATTCTGGTTCTTGGCCGCAACCTACCGCATCGTCCTGGGCGTCTTCCAGCCACATGAGATCCAATTCCTCGCCACTCCGACCCTGCAAGTCTACTCGGCCTGGCTGGCAAAGCAAAAAGCCAAAGAGTCCAAGAACGCCAACACCGCCGCCCTCGACCGACTGCATCAGGACGTCGAGCTCCTCGGCACCGGGGACGATATCAACCATGTCGCAGCCGGCGGCGGCGGCGGAAGCATCATGTGGCTCGGCAACCGCAAGAAAGCCTCCAAATTCGTACTCTTCTTCCACGGCGGGGGGTACGTCGCCCCGCTGGCCCCGGGTCACCTCACCTGGTGCTGGGAATGCTACGTCAACGGCAAGCCCGGCGATAGCAACGGAGATGAGGTCGCCGTCGCGGTCCTGCAATACACCCTCTGCCCGGGTGCTACGTACCCGACGCAGCTGCAGCAGGCCGTGGCGGCCCTCAATCACCTCCTGCGATCCGGCGTCACGCCAGAGAATCTCATCATCGGCGGCGACTCGGCTGGCGGGAATCTCACAACCCAGGTGCTCTGCCACCTCCTCCGTCCCCACCCCGACGTCCAGCCTGTTCGGCTAGGTGGCCCCCTTGCCGGCACGTTCTTGGTCTCCCCTCTCCTCACGCTTCGCACCGATGCCGTCTCCTATCGAACAAATCACCGTGTCGATATGCTCTCAGCTGCCATCGTCGCCAAGGCTGGCGACTACCTCTTTGCCGACGACCATGTAGCGAAGCAAGCCACGAACCCGCACGAACCGCTGGCACTAGATGGCGACATGGAGTGGTTCGGGGAGATTCATACCGTCGTCAAGTCAGTATACGTGACGGCCGGCGCGCAGGAGGTATTCTGCGATGACTCGCGGGTCTTTGCGGAAGCAGTCAGGAGACGGAATCCCGGGTTGGACGTCCAGCTGGAGGTAGCGTCCACCGAGGTCCACGATGGAATTTTGATCGAATCCGAGTGCGAAACGATCGGGGACGCGTCTCGGAGGATGAGGAACTGGGCGTCAAAGTGTTTGTTATGATTTTGTGTCGATCAATGATTTCACGTGATACCACCACTGCCTTTGATGACCCTTAGATGCTAAGTGCACGTCGGCGTTTCGTTCTGCTCGCTCCTCTGCTGCCACGTCGTTCGTCTAGTGCGCTCGTGAGAACATAACATATCTGTCTCTCATATCCGTGGCTGAAATCCTCGTGGTAATACAGCGCCCTGGTCGATGATTCGATATTGGGCCAATTCCTTAGCCAGCCACCTGGATGCACTCGCAAGCAAGGGCGTTCTTTTCACGTCATATCAGACTCGAGTGAGCTTTCTCATGACTCCAAAAAGAAGCATCTGACGTGCAGCAGCACAACTTTGCCCTGTTGCGACGCGCCCGTAAGTCCGGTTCCTCGATTCCGAATTGACTATCTCCAACAGGCAAGGGTGTCTCGAACCGAGGTCACGATGTGCATACCGCGGGTAGTCATTGGGAGGGTACAGCTGCGGCCGGGTACCCCAAATCCTGGATGCACCGCGTCAATTGTTGTCAACACTCGACCGCAAGGGACAAACCGAACAGGTTGAAATGATTCTAGACCACGAGACGGAATTCGAAATCTCGTCCAGTCGTATCGCAATAAAAAAGGAGCTTCGCCGATTCGTCGCCCTACAAGATCTGCCTCCAAAGAAAAGGGCCAAGACTTTGGCACGTTCGTTCGGGGTACGGTAGCGGCGGCCCCCCTCATCTCCCCTCACCACTGGGGAGTTTTCATCATGTAAATATCGCGTAACCGTTTTCCCTTTTCTCAAAGAGCCGCGTGCCCAGCGCCAACATGTCCAGCATGTCACTGCCTTTTCATCTCGTTTCCCGTTCCCGCGGGTGCGGGAAGCCCAAAAAGACGAACCGAAACGAACCCCCGTTCCACAAAAGCCGAGTTGAGGCTCTTTGGGGCTTGCTTTGACGACATGTTGTCTCTCCCCAGGGTGGGAAGACGTCAACGGCTGCGACAGGGCCTCTGGGTAGAGCGAGGAGGTGTGTAGTTGTTTAACT